CTTAGTATCTTCAGTAATAATATATCACCTGCAGCTATTATCTCACGAATAAAATAGTATTTGAGATCAATATTTCTTATCTTTATATGATTAGGATAGACATGTTGGTTTATAGATATGGTCAAATTTGAGTTTCCCTAAAATTAAGGAAAAGATAGAGCCTCACCTACCTATTTTTTGGGGTTTCCTTTTTTATATAACATTGTACTTTAGATAGAGAAATAAAAAGAACAGAAAAAATAGGGGCCATCACGTGGGTGTTCTTTGAGTTTGTTTTTCTCGCTATATTGAGCTTTTGTAGGGGAAAAAATATACCAAAAAAATAGATAAAAGTCTTTGGATATCTGGTAGAGAGAGAATATGGCAAAGAGAAAAATGATTTGTAGGAGATTGAATTCTATGCTTTTAATTCTCTTAATTAAATGCCCTGTAATTTTTTTTTTTTGATTTAGTGGAAAAAACGTAGATCGTCATCGCCTGTGGATGTAGTCACATCTGTGAAGAACCACATAAATTCTGTTTGTTTTTTTTTCCTGTATATTCTTTTATGCTTTATTTTTCTTTTTTGTTGCATGTTCTATTTTTTTTATACTTTATTTGCCCAAACTCAACCTGTCAGATTTAAAGCTTCCGCGCACGACAAGAGGTATTAGATCTTCTTATTGCACTAGCAACTATTTTTCCCCTTTGAAACTATTCCAATCCATGATCATGAGGGTGTTGATAGGTGTTTAGAAATTTAATCAAAAGATATCGTAGAATATTAAATAGTTTAACTGTTTTAGCTATTTGGATAAATTTCCCTATTTTAGACTTTTCATATTTATCTCTCAATAGGAGCATCGTGGAACACACATCATTAGTTATGCTCATACACAGTGTGTACTTTGTAAAAATACACATTGGGGGACCTACTCTTCATTGGGAAAATTGAGATAAAGGAGACAATAAAATTTCACTAAGAGATAATAATATTTCACTAACACATTATCATATGCATTACTGTCTCTCTTAGAAACTCATTTAATTATTTTTTATTTAGGATCATGTAGCATAAATGAAAGAGATCAGATATTATATTTTGAATAAGTAGTATTCGTTTATCTATACTGGGGATTTATGGCATCATTGAGGCATTTAATAAAGCAAAATGATGGACCATAATTCGTGTAAATGACCACAATTAATTGAAAAAAAACTATAATGATATTCATTTATTGATGGTAGAATTGTATAACAGTTCCTAAAAATAGTAATTACAAATATAGGTAACAATTCAAGTCCTTGGATAAACTTTACACAATTGAGGTTTGGTCGGAGCCGCTATTTCATACACATGCAAGGAAGACTTAAAAGCTATGCTGCATGATAAGCAAATATGTTTAGAGAATAAATAGTGATTTATGTAGATAACGCTTTCATTAAAATGTATCTAATATTAGCCTATTTAGATAGACATGATATACTAGAGGCATGGGTGGGTGATTGACTTGGATGCCCTAAAAACAGCAAGCTCATTTATATCAATGGTTTTTCTCCAAATGACTAAAATACCATCGATGCCTTAAATCCTTTTTACTATGAAAATGACTTTTAATTTTATTTTATTTTATTTTGTAGATATGGCTAAAGATCCTTGCAAGTAAAATACTTGGTAGGGAGTTGTAACATAGATATAATGAGATAGTTTATTTTGGTATAAATGAACACAATCACCCTAAACTGATAGAAATGAAATGGGCCAACTGGGGCTGTATTATTGACCATATTCAAAGACCTAAAAATTTATTAAGAAAAAATTCTCAAATTTTGTGTAAAGAAATGACACATCTTAATTGTCTGCTTTTACATTTGATGATTATAGATGTTTGTGATCTTTATACACGAAACATCATGATCTCATTGTATACAAACTCGACTATTATTGTGCTCAAAATTGCCAAAATCACCCTTAAGTATTTGCCAATTCAACAGTTGCTATCTTAAAAAATTATTTGAATACCCAAACTTTTGAATGGTCCAAAAACAGAACTATTTTCCTATTGGAGAATTTCCCACTTCATATAGCTCCTATGCACTCAAATGAGTGAGGAGCATTTTTTAAACATTTGATGGGATATTTCAAATATAAGAGAACAATAAGTGGAAGCAACAATTGAAGTTTAATACTTCAGTTCATAAAATACTTTTTCAAAATCAAAAGAATTGATGGTTCTACCCTTCCCTTTGGTAGGAGTTTCCTACAATAAGAAAGACTAGGGATTTATTTCCTTTTGGGACATTTCTATTGTAGATTGTAGATCCTTTGGGCCTCTTGCCTTTATTGTACAATGAGCATTGTAAAGTCAAAAGGTTTGGAAACTAAGAAAAGGTTTGGAAACTAAGGCACTGTTTGGCATTTAGACAACCCTTATGCTATCAAATCCACCTACAAAGACACTGCCTTATGTGTGTTGCCCCTAAGGCCCCCCTTGGGCTAGGAGAAACTCCTGTGCAATCAGATCTATCTACTAAAAGACTGGCTTTTCTGGATTGTTCCTACTTCGGGAAAAGCTAATTCTCGTCGAAATGCAACTTGAAAACTAATCGGACCGGAAGTTGCCATGTGCGAATGAAACTTAACGCAATGAATAATTGTCGCCGATGCGAAACTTCCCAAGCGCCTTTATTGCAATACATACATAACATTGGAGCTTAACAAATGGCAGTCAATACAGACAGTAAAATTCTTTTCAACTATTGGCGCCAAGCCGTCAAAATTTTGCTTTTTCATGAGTGGGATGGAAATTCAAATTCCTCTGAGAAAGTTTCCGAATGCCTGTACTGCATCACCTATCATTTTGCATAAAGAAAAATTAAAGCTGATTTGTGAAACTAGCCAAATGCAACACTAAAACTCGTTTTCTCTGTCGTTTGTTATCGAGGATGGATGGTGGATCACCCGTTGTATGTGACATTCTTCTCTATGCACATGTGTGTAGCAGAGCAACCTAATAGTGGAAGCACATAATGTATATGTTTTTAAATGTTTGTACGCAATGGTGCATGTAGTTTAGCAACAGTAACTACATGTCACCTGAGCCGACCACTGTAAACATCCGACGGTTGAGATGAACATCTCTTAGCTAAGAGAACGTATTCAGAAAAGATATATTATGGTCATTTATTCTCAGCAACAGACCATAAATGTCATGCACGGTTCATTGTTTGTAAATTGCAATGCACCACAATATATTGTTTCAATTTTTCAAAAAGTTGAATTCAATTGTATTTTGTGTCATTTGAATAAAAGATGAGGCTAAATGTATTTTATCAAAGCTTTAATTTTTAAGGAAAAAGATTTGGAAAAAAAAAAGGTTGGGTCATTTTGGTCATATTTATAAAAGACGGGGACTTTTGATTTTTGACTCACATGGTAATTGCGATGCACTAAAAATAAAGAAATCTCTCCTATTTAAGCTGATAGTTTAGAGAGAGAGAAGAGAGAGAGAGAGAGAGCATCGCTTCTTTCTGAAGCCCCTAAAGTTTAGAGTGAGGTTTGAGAGTTTAGAGAGAGAGAGAGAGAGAGAGGGTACGACGCTCTTTTGTATATGTCCTAAGGTCCAATTAACTAACACAAAGGAAAAAGAGAGAGAGAAAATGCAGTCGCACTCTCTTTCTCTTTATATCAGCTTTTCTACTTCTCCTTTGAGTAACGGTTTTAATGGCTACTGTAGAGGAGCCTCATTTCATCGTTTTGCTCGTTCTCCTCTCCCTTCAATTAAATGCTCTGCAACCTCGACAGCATCAGTTGGTAAGTTTTCCTTTGCTTCTCTCTTGGCGCTTTCTACCTCAGTAGCTTATTTGGTGTATTCTTTGAGAAAGAGAGAGAAAGTGGGTGGGTTGTTTCTTTTTTTTCTAAAATGTTCTGAGTGAGTTATTTGGTGTGCCTTTCGGGAGCGAGAGAGAGAGCCGATAGCTTGGTTCTCGATTTTCTGTATTTTCTATTTTTTTGGTTTGGAGCCGTTTTGATATTCCTGGTTCGAAAGAATCAAGTGGGCCACTGTTATTTTTCCTTTTTAGTTATCTGTCGGTTCAGAATTTTCTCTATAAGCCGTTGGGTATATACCTTTTGAAGAGATTCCTGTAACTTTCAGTGTGGATACTTTGAATACCTCTGGTAGAGAAATAATAGTTTTTGTTGTTCCTCTGCTGCATTGTTAGGCTATTTCGTATATTTTGGAAAGACAGAAAGTGGGGTAACCTTTCTTGTCAAAAATTTTATTTCTGAAACCATCTGAGAGAGTGATGACTGAGTCACCATCATAGGATTTCCTTATAACTATTTTGAAGTACGTCATGGAGGAGGTAGCCAACATTTTATTTTCTTTCTGAAATTGCATTTCTAAACTATTTATTTTCCTTTTGAATTGGATATGATAACCATAGTATGCTTTGGATGATTGAGAGAGAAAGTGGATCACCATTCATCACATTTGAGTTTTGTTTTATGAAACACCAGATGCTGCAAAGTTCATTGAAGCTTCAAAGAAAGGAAACCTTGTTCCTCTCTATCGCTGCATATTCTCCGATCACCTGACGCCAGTGCTAGCCTATCGTTGCCTTGTAAAGGAAGATGACAGAGAAGCTCCCAGCTTTCTTTTTGAATCGGTGGAGCAGGGATACCGGGGTACCAATGTTGTAAGTTTAATTGTATTGCTCTTCATATTGAAAAAAAAAGGAAGCATTTTTATACCTTATCTTATTCCTCATGCTTTTTTTTCTCTTCTTTTGTGAGGGAATTTGTGGGTAAGAAAAATGTATCTCCTTTTTGATGCGGAGTTCATTGAAATTTTTTTGAATCGTGTTTGAGTGGTTCAATCATTTTCTTTTACACGGTTCTCTTGCTTGGAGAGTTAATATTCTTAGGCTTAAGCTGTGCTCAGTTTCGCTGATAGGGACGGTATAGTATTGTTGGAGCCCAGCCAACGGTGGAGATTGTGGCGACAGAGAATTTTGTAACCATAATGGATCATGAAAAAGGCAGTAGAAAAGAAGAATTCGTTGAAGACCCAATGGATGTACCTCAAAGAATTATGGAGAATTGGAACCCGCAACTTATTGATGAGCTTCCTGATGCTTTTGTCGGTAAGGATTTTACTGATTACTGTAATTGATCAAATAAAAAAAAAATTTATTGATTATGGTATATCTTCTGTCAATTAAATGGAGAAACCTACATTGTTGCTTTGATAGCGTACATGGTTCATGTGGAAAGAGAAGTAGCGATTTTGTCATAATGGAAATTAACGTATGCAAATGCTCTGTTATGACTGCATAATTTTCGTTTTCCTTATTAAGGAATGGTTTTGAATTGACGTCTCTCTAGAACAAAAAAGTTATGTATTGGTCAGATTTGTCCATGTATATAGGACATCCCAAACAAGCTGATGACAGGTTTGTTGCTAAAAGTTGAGCACCACCAATTTCATGGGGCTAGTCTTTATGCCCACATTCTTAGTAACCACCAATGCCATAGATTCCAGTCTGTCTCTCAAATAGGAAGGGGGTTTTATGGGGTTTGCCTGAATTCTACAGGATGGATATGGTTACAAGAAAAAGTGATGTAAAAAGCAGACCTTTGATGCAACTTCTATTTCTCTCCCTTAAATATACTCTCATTCTTTCGCTTATACAGAGAAGCCAATCTTCCAAAACCAATATGTTTCATGCATGCATTTACGTTCCATACCAATGTGGTCATTGTGGAAAGAATTGAGGATCATTCATGGTTATGTAGCTGTCTTTTATTTTTCAGGTGGATGGGTCGGATTCTTTTCATATGATACTGTTCGTTACGTGGAGAGGAAGAAACTGCCATTTTCTAGTGCTCCAGTGGATGACAGAAACCTTCCTGATGTTCATTTGGGACTCTATGATGATGTTATAGTCTTTGATCATGTGGAGAAGGTAGTTAAACTTCAGCATGTCATTGTTTTCGTAGTGGGTAATGAAGTAAGGGGTTGATGGTCCACTTCAAAATATGGGCCACTTCAAAATGGTGGGAAGGATGGTGGCTTGAGATATTGAAGTGGGATGTTGGTCCATGTGGTGTGTTACCTTTCATTGCTCATGAACTACTTTGGGTTTCTCTATGATTATTTGGAATTATAGATAGTCATACTTTCTTATGAGATGAGTTTGTAGTCATGACCAAATTAACAATGAATTTTTATGTTAAAAGTTTTGAAGATTCACAGTTTGTATTAAAATCATATATCTTCCTTTTAAGTTTCAGAATCCTATGATGTGCCGCATGATTTGTGGATTTTATCAAATTTCGCATATTATAATCAACTCAAATTCTATCATTGACCATTACCATTTCACCTTGGAATGGCCGTCAAATTTTTTTCTTTTGATGTCTAACACAAATCACGGTATCGAGTATGACTGTTACTTTGCAGTGGAAAAGTATGGGACATAGGATTAATGGATTATAGGGCTCGCTGAATTTTTGTGATGGTGGATTTGAGCGTAACAGTTTTTTTAAGAATCTGAACAGTAGTTTAAATAGTAATAAAAATAATTTGCAGTTTTAACTCTTTGATAAATGAAAATTGAGCAGTTTTAAATTTGGGTCACTACTTTGGCTTCTCATGTGTAAGCAGTTTCTTGATGTCTAGGATTTTTTCTATGCTTGTTTAGGTTCCTACCCTCATGTACTTATGCTGGTTTCAGTCCATTCTCTTTGTGGTTTATCTTTCTCTCTCTCGCACGTGCGCACACACACAATTACACAAACCCACATTTGTCTGAATGCACGTGCTTAGTTCACTAACCAAAATAATCCTTCATTAAAGTCATTTCCACTACTTAACCAAACACTTTGCTTTCTTTTGGGAACATGGCTTCTGTATACCCCTAGGATGTCCTTCATGCATGAATCATTGTAAGGAGGTTCTCAACTGTCACAAAAATATGGGAGGTTCCCACTGTACCTTTTTAAGTTACCTTCCTGCTTTTGAGAAGGGAACAAATAACATACTTAAAAGTATTTCCTGCATGTCTGGAATTCTTTTATTATTGGTTGATTTTACTTATAATTATATAAAAGAAAGGGAATGTACTCATAAATAGGTTTCTTTGGGGTGAATATTTATGAGTTCTTTTTTGAATTTTTGTACTAAGTTTGCCACTTGTTGTGTAATGTTTGCTGTCCACAGAAAGTATATGTTATCCACTGGGTGCACTTGGATCGGCATTCTTCAATCGAGGATGCTTATGAGAATGGAATGAACTGCTTGGAAATATTAATATCAAGGGTACATGATATTGACACGTAAGCAATTGCCTTGACCCCTCTCTCTCTATACACACATACACACATGCAAAAAGTATTGACTCGCTTTCCCTTTCAAACTTTCCAAATCAACCAACGGTTGCTACACTTTGAGGTTGTCAGAATTCTGTGAGTTTTCACTACTTAACAATATGGCTTTAACTATGCCAGCCCAAGGCTATCCTCAGGATCTATAAAGCTGTGCACTCAACTTTTTGGTGAATCATTGAAGAATTCTTCCATGACAAGTGAAGCGTACAAGCAGGCTGTAATTCAGGCAAAAGAACACATTCTAGCTGGCGATATTTTTCAGATTGTGCTGAGCCAGCGTTTTGAGCGACGAACTTTTGCTGACCCATTTGAAGTGTATAGAGCATTGAGAGTTGTGAACCCAAGCCCGTACATGACTTATTTACAAGTGGGTCTACTTAATGCTCCCCCCCCCCTCCCCTATTTTTGTAGGCCACACACACACATATATATATATATATATATATATATATATATATATTACACAGACTGGTTTTGGTATAATTTGTTGGGAAATTATAGTAATTTGTTGGGAAATTATAGTATAATCCAATGCATTATGGAAACTCATATTCCATTTGTGTCAACGCCATCCTCTGAATGATGGTCATAGGGATTATGTCTTTCATTAATGGGTCGCACTTTCAGTCACCATCCATCGTTTCATCCGATGGTGATGACCATATTGGACTTATGTTCTGGCTGCTTTATTAGACCTATGTACATTTACTCCGAACTGTATATCAGCTGTTCGTTGATATTTCTCTTTCCACATATTTGTATGCCTCATAGTAGTGTTTCTTTGATATCTATCATCGCAATGGTTGTTTCAGGCCCGGGGATGCATACTAGTTGCTTCTAGTCCTGAAATACTTATTCGTAAGAAGAAGGTAATGGATAGCATGTCTTATGTTGTCTTTGCTTGTTCTTAATAATTAAGATATCTTAGCCAATTATATTAGATGTTCTTGTTGTTAGTCTCATGTTAATTTGATTGTTGTTATTTGATGCAAGAATGTTACATCTCCACCATTTTTCTTGGCTGCTTTGACCCTTTCACCTGCCTCTTTTTTGAGTTATTTTCCACTTGAATGTTGTTCTCTACTAATTTTTGTGGCTTCTAGAGGATTGCATTTGCAGCCATTTGGGTCTCCCCTTTTCCTCAACTTCTTTGTTCACATTTCCTATAAGGTAGTTTGCATAAATGATCTTGTAGTAGCGGAGGTAGCCAGGTATACCGTGCCTGTTAAATCACTGGAAATTAGCTTTGTTTGTTTTCAAAAATCAGAGAAAGAAATGAAAAGTTGGGTCCTGTTTGCTTAAATTGTGTTAGATATTCCTACCCTTAAAACCTTTTTGCTGCCAAAAGGAAAATAAAGACTACTGATTCTTTTTTGGCAGAACATGATAATCAATCGACCTCTTGCTGGGACAATCAGAAGGGGAAAGACGGCAAAGGAAGATATGATGCTGGAGAAGGAGCTTCTGAATGATGAAAAGCAGCGTGCTGAACACATAATGCTTGTCGATTTGGGACGAAATGATGTTGGAAAGGTGCGTCTTTTATAGTTATGTGCAGAATTTGGATCTAAAAATGATTCATTCATATATATTACCATTTCATGGAGGTCACTTTTCTCATTCAATGGTTACTAGTGGCTCTGTTTGTCTTCTCTTCTTTTGTGCTTTAGACATTAGGAAACCGATGGCTTTTTTATTTAATCTGCTTCTATGGTTTAACTGATTTCATTAACTCACATGATGAACATTACTTTTATTCAAACCACGATATGAGATAACATTTGTAAACTTAAGTTACTCTGAAATTCATATAATGAGGATTAGATTTTATTTTATTGATTTATTTATTTTTAATTCGGTTATCATACTGGAACAACTTCTAAATAGCATCTGGTAAATGCATGTGAAATTGAAACTTAAAAAGAAATATGCATGTGATGAGGATTGGGATTGGTGCCATTGTTTCACCCACATAATTGGACCACAAGTTGCTTTCTACTGGCAAGGGCTTTTTGCAAGGTTATGGATGAGCATCCATAACACACTATTGATAAATAACTAGCTGACTAGGTGATATTTTTTGCACTGTTTCTCCTGTCTTCTTGTTTAGAAACAAACATTGTTAGTGTAAATCAATGGAAAATGAATTTAACTGAAACTAATATGCTTAAATAATCCCTTATCAACCAAGGTAAGAAACCTTTAGTGAATCTCTATTGCCTGAAAAAATATATTCCTTTGGAGGAATCATGTATATTTCCTCTGGAAGTTGCTGTGAAGATAGGCAGTTTTCATATTCATTTGGAGTCTTTGCCATTTTTAACTCCTAGTATGGATATCAGAATGTTTTGATGCACTTGAAGTGTTCCCTGGGGCTTGAACTATATTTTGCACAGAGACGAGATGATTACTTCCCCATTATGCCAAATCTCCATCAGAAGGAAAAATAATGTTATTTGCCACTAGCTAACATAATGGCAAGCAATTATTCTTCAATTTGAAAAATTTCAAATGGAAGCATGATGTGAGTTTGTGGCATGGACCGAAGCATGATGTGGAACGTTCACTAGAGTTGCCCTTGTATGAGGTTCACTTATGTAGCCACATTCTATAGTTGGATGAGAAACCCAATTCCTATGGTACAGTATAATCTGAGGGACCATGGTATTTGGTATTCCAAAGGAGTATCAATAGATGTTGGGAGATTAATTCTACGGGAGTCTACAGTGACACTGACCTAGGTACAGTTGATCTCCACCTTTTACAGTTGATCTCCACCTTTCATTATTGGTTTGGTAAGCAGGTAATGGATGCCCCTTGTACTCTCTTGGGTTGTGTTGCAGTTTATCCATGCAATGTGCATTTTCTGTAGCATGCATTGGATGGTGGGTCTGTCAAGGTCGATGAGAAATTCTGGTATATTATTTATTCTTGCTGTTTACCAACAATCCTTTATCAGTAATTAGTAAACTCGAGCGTCAAGGAATCCATTGTTTTCAATCATATTATTTGGGCGAGTAGTCCACCAAATGTTTATTGATACATTTGTTGTTGACATTGGTGCTCAGCTTTGGAAAACTGATGTCATTCCAATTCCCTTTCTAAGGGAGAGGGATAGTATTTTACTGATATATTTTGTTGGGTCCACCATTTTATTTGACAATAAATCTTGCTGCATTGGTTTTAGGCAAGAGCTGTTATTATATGTTTGGCAAAGTTTCATAGCTGTTCAAGTAATTTTGTAATTTCATGTATTTCAAACCATGAAAAGGAAGGCAAACTTATTATTATCTTAACGCAAAAGAGTTTTATTTATCATTGTCTCTTATCAGGCAAAGCCTCTTATTTTCTTTTAGTTGCTTTTCTTGCAAATAAGCATTCTGTGCTTATGTTTGCACCCTTTCTGGCAACCTTTTCAGGTATCAAAGCCTGGTTCTGTGAAGGTCGAGAAGCTCATGGGTATTGAAAGATACTCCCATGTGATGCACATCAGCTCCACAGTGAGTCTACTCAGCATAAAATCACTTAATATAAATCCCTCTTTCTTTCTTGATATATACATGTACACAGTGCTTGAAAGAATTTGTATTTCTACAGGAATTTGTTTGAAAAATTCCTGTATATTGGGAAAGAACGCCTTGCACCTCTTTATACTTGCACTACCTGGTTCTAATACTTGGTTTGGTTTTCAAGGTCTTATAGACCTGCAAGATTTTGGGATTAAAAATTGGCCACGTATTTGCAAATTCACAAGTGCTGTTGTTTAGCATTTACTTTGCAAATGCAAGGTTGATTAACTTACCATGTCATTTGTCAAATGATCCCATGTGTTTCTATATTGTGCCAAATGGATACTGTCGTTCTATTTGTGAGTTATATGCATACTTGGAGTTTGTTCTTACAGTTTAATCTTTTATTGATCAACTGAGAGATATGATATGGGCATGGATTTACGCAGTGAGTACTTAGGGCTAAATGCTTGTCTTTTGAAGTTCTGTTGAAAGAATGGATATGCTTAGAGAGCGGCTTGTTATGGAATCTTAATTCTGCAGGTCACTGGGGAGTTAATGGATCATCTCAGCTGTTGGGATGCGTTGAGTGCCACCTTGCCTGTTGGAACAGTGAGCGGGGCGCCCAAGGTTGGCTTAGTTTCTCTCTCTTGATTTAATCTCACTTCACAGTTATCTTATTGATAGTGATGCCTTCCTACTGATTCTACATGCCCAATGCATGATATAATCATTGATTGTTTGGTTTTCTTCAGTGTTATGGGACTCACCCGAGTTTGCTCGGAGGCGGGCAAGAGTAATTCCGTGGGAGAGGCGGAGTTACCCCAAGTTGTGATTTGTGTATACAACTCGGGGTACATAAATTTTTTTCAAAGAAATCCAATAAAATTGTTAAAATTTGGTTTTGTTGTATAGTTGTTTTGAATATGATTTGGATGTTTTTGGCATGGAGTGTTTTTTTGCCATAATCCCTTATTTTATTTTTTTCCCTTTCTGGATTTTTTTTGAAATGTGCTCAAGTATAAACCTATTTTTTTTTTAATCCATTTTTCTATACTTTTTTAAGCATATTTGGATTTTTAAGGTTGCTTTTGGTTTTATTTTACTTTTAATGCCTTTGTTTTATTAGATATATATGGGTGCGGTTTGTATAGAGCTGATGCTCTAAACAATCGAAGTGTAGCGCACCTTCAAATAGTGTTGAGAAATATGGTTTCAATATTGGAAATCTTGAAATCCATTTTTTTCTCATGTCCATACATCGTGATATCGAGATGATCAGTTTGGGGATATTTGGACAACAAAACAACCTCTTCTAGTGAAAATTTTGAGGTGGGATCTAATTTGATTGTTTGGAGCTTCGTCTCTATATGAACTTTTTCCTATATATATATATATTTCTTTTTCTTTTCTAAAGCGTTTTGGCCATGTATAGTACTTTCCGAGGAACTCGCCTCAGCCAAGGTCTGGGCGGTCTTCTAAACACTTGCGGTTCTTCTTTAGAGACTATAGAATCACATTTGCGTGCATTTTTTCTTCTTTAGAGATTCTATAGAAGCGCATTTGCATGCATGAAAGACAAAGAGAGCCAACATCCTCTTCATACTCTCTCTCTCTCTTCTTGGCTTCCCGTATTCACAGGTGAGAGCCATGGAACTGATCGACGAGCTCGAAGTCATCCGACGTGGTCCCTACAGTGGAGGCTTCGGAGGCATATCATTCTCGGGAGACTTGGATATTGCCTTAGCCCTTCGAACCATAGTCTTTCCAATGGGCAAACACTATGATACAATGTATTCCTATAAAGATGCAAGTAGGAGGAGAGAATGGGTAGCCCACCTTCAAGCTGGTGCAGGAATAGTGGCTGATAGTAAACCAGATGATGAGCAAAGAGAATGTGAAAACAAAGCAGCAGGTCTGGCTCGAGCCATTGATCTTGCTGAGTCGGCCTTTGTCAATAAGTGAGAGAAATATGCATATCCAAATGAAGTGAGAGGAAGTGTTAGTGAGAGAAAGTGTTGGTTTTATGTGAGGGTGGTTGGGTTGTGGAAATATGGAAAATTTAGGAAAATTTTTCTGTTTTTTTTTTTTTGCTTAATGTGGTGGTTCGTTTTTTTGTTGAATTTTGTTCTATATTTTTTTTTTGGGTCTGTTGGTGTTTTGGTTAGTGGGGATGTGTTGCTTCTTTTGTTAACAGTATCTCTTTTATTTTGAAATTTTGGTCTCTGTCGGTATTCCTACTTAAAGTTGATGAACAAGAGTTAAATTGGTCACACCTGCTTAGTGGAAAAAAAAACATGTCATTCCTAACCCCAGGAGATTCCCTAGCTATGCTGGGTTGCTTAGAATTTCAGAAACTTGGCTTCAGATTCTCTTATTGAAAATCTCTCTTGCAAAATGCATTGCAAAACTCTTTGTTGCTGATGATAATTGGAGCTTGAGGAACGGTAACTACAGTCTTTTAAGTAATCCTCTCTCTCTCTTTTGGAGATCAAAATTTCATGGAAGAAAAAAGCCTCTTAGCCATGCATTTCCGTTCAATTTATTACCACATCATTTTCTGTTGAATTTATTAGCACATCTCATTTGAAAAGATCAACAGTTCATTTAAAGGTCGAAGGACATAGATGGGGAGGTAGATAACCCGAAAAAGTACCATGATATAGAAGTAAGGAAAGGCCAAACTTAATCCATATTAAACAGAAATACTAAGAGAGAGAAACCAACAGTTAAATATCAACAATGAAATGAAACTTCATGAGAGAAAGAGAGGTCTACATAGTGGAGTGGGAAACCGGAGGCTCAGGGCTTGAGCTGGTGGGTGTATAACATGATGGTACTCTCTCTCTCTTCAAATAGATCTTTGACATTGAGTTTTTGATGTCCTACAATTTGTTTAGGGCATCTTTCATGCCTATTCGGTCTTTTGATGACAAACCAATCTCCATGACGGTCACCAAACATGCAATTGCACTAGATTAATCTCATATCTTCACATAGCCTGAGATCCATAATTTCCATAACTTTGACATTTGAGTATTTGATGTCCTGCAATTTGTTTTGGGCATCTCTCATGCCTATTCGGTCTTTTGATGACAAACCAAGATGGCCACCAAACATGGTTGAATCTGATTTTTTCAATTGCACTAGACTAATCTCGTATCTTCACATAGCCTGAGATCCATAATTTCCGTAACTTTGACGTTGAGTTTTTGATGTCCTGCAATTTGTTTAGGGCATCTCTCATGCCTATTCGGTCTTTTGATGACAAACCGATCTTCATGATGGCCACCAAACATGGTTGAATCTGATTTTTCAATTGCACTAGACTAATCTCACATCTTCACATAGCCTGAGATCCATAATTTCCATAACTTGATTGGGATAAGCCTTGTTCACGAATTCACAAAGGCTCAATCCATTTGCAAACATTTCATCAGTGGGTTTCTTTCCGGTGAACATCTTCAACAGCAAGATACCAAAACCATAGACATCTGCATTAGTCGAGGCTTCATTACCGAAACCATACTCTTACGTTAATTGTGATAACTTTGCTTTAGTTTTTGAAACAAAATAATAAAGTATCCAAACAAAGAAAACTTAAGCATAAAAGTCTAAAGATTAAAAACATGGTTATGTCGCTTAGTACCTGGAGGTATGTATCCTATGGATCCTTTGAGTCCAAGCATGCTACTTAGATATTCTAACAAAGAAATACGGGGAAGGATTCTTGCCAAGCTGAAGTCTCGAACTCGAACATGTGCTGACATGCCTTTGTCTAGTAGAATATTACTGGGTTTCAAATCACAATGCACAACAATCGTGGACAGTCCCGATGTGGGTACTCCAGTGCAGAGGCTATGTCGATGGCTATGCTCAATCTCTAAAAGAGCTTCAAGTTTAAATGGTGGTTTCCATTTCCAATAATCAAATTAGAGGAAGTTGATGGATGAAGCCATTTGTCCAAGCTGCTATTGGGCATGAACTCAAATACTAGGGCTTTGAAATCATTGCTCTCAAGATCACGAATTTAACAACGAGTGATTAGCTCGACTAGATTTCGATGTCGAAATCCACAAAGGGCTTCACATTCTGCAACAAAACTCTTGAAATCTCTATCTTGTTTTAAGTGGAGAATTGTCACTGCAATATTGGTTCCATTTCCACGACTTCTCATGTAAATGGAGCCGAAACTCCCGGAACCAATCAAATTTGTTGGACCAAACCATCTGTTGCCACAAAGAGCTCTTCATATGAAAGTTTTGGATGGTCCCTCTTAGTTGGAATGATGATATGGGGCCGTTTCTCGAGTTCTTTCTCCGAAAATGTTGCGCACAATACAGTAATTGACATAGGAATGCTGATTGCTAGGATCATTGTTTCTATCTTTCTATGCGCTCTTCCTTTTTGAGAAGCTTGACTGGGACATACGGGCAGATCCATGAAACCTATAACCCCACAAAGTTTACTGTTGCCCTGGAGAAAGACTTGATTTGGATTCTTGAACCCTTCTTGTCGAACTTGACCTTCCAGTTCATTATATGATAGATCTAAACTCCAAAGATGAAAAAGGTTTTGCAGGTACAAAGGAAAAATCCGAGACAAATGATTTGTAGAAAAGGTTGATATGTTCAATTGCTTTTAGGTTTTGACAAGACATTGGAATTTGGCCTTGCAAATTATTAGAAGAAAGATCCAATTCCTGAAGATATTCCAAGTTACAAGTGATACAGGAATTGGACCTTCCCGTGAGTTTCTAGCCATGCAAATGTAGATAAATCTGTTCGAAATGCTTGTTGGAATATATCCAGTTAACTTATTATCGACGATATTAATGTGTGTTAGAGGGATTTTAAGAACCGCTTCAGGAATGGTTCCACTGACCTTGTTTATTGAGAGGTCTAGTAGAAAAAGATTTGGAACAATTTCCCAAACTTGATGGGACTTCACCGGAAAAGTTGTTTCTTGACAAATCTAATGCCTCTAATTGTCGAAGTTGACCGATTGTTGCCGGAATGCTTCCATTTATACAAGTTATCTGACAAATATAATGTTTCCAACTGTCGAAGTTGCCCAATTGTTGCCTGAATGCTTCCACTTGTGTAGTTTTTTTGCAAACTTAAGTTTGTCAAGTTTACAAGTTTTCCGATCCCAACTGGGATGCTTCCTACTAGAAAATTATATGATGCATCTAAATCAACAAACATGTTAGAAATGGAGGGAGGAATAGTACCATTTAAAATATTTCCAGTGAGGTGCAATACCTCCAATTGGGTCAAATGACTTAATTCTTCGGGTAAGCACCCAAATATAGAGTTAAAGTTGAGGATGAGGTTTGTTAGAGATGAAAGGTTACCCAAAGATGGTGGAATGGTTCCTCTGAAAATATTATTTGAAAGCTGCAATTCTTTTAGGTTTGAGAATTTACCTAGGTTGGCAATGAAACCAACAGAAAGTATGTTATTGTCCGATAAATCAAGAACTTCAAGAAGCACACGTCCGGCGACGGAATTCCTTGAATCATATTTCTATTCACATTGAGGCATTTCAAGAGAGATAGTCGACCGATGTCCTTGGGTATGTCGCTATTATAATAGTTATGGTTGAGTTTGATGGTGGTAAGAGAGGAGAGATTACCTATGTGAGGATCAATGCTGCTCTCCAATAAAACCCACAAGATCCAATCCTGTAACTCTCTACTTTTGTTTATCACAGGTGACTCCTTTCCAATCACACAAGGGAACACTTGAATTCCATGAGACAAACAATCCATATGGATCAGAAACTATCTTACTCTTGAAATGGTATAAGGATATTTCATCGGTTGAATTCGAACACTTGAATTCCATGAGACCAACAATCCATATGGATCAGAAACTATCTTACTCTTGAACTGGTAGAGGGACATTTCATCTGTTGAATTGTTGTTTGGGGGAAACAAATAGCTCCATGTAAAACCCAAGAGCTGTGGCCATTGGATTTGTGAATAGTTTTTTGAGGAGGTGCCTTGATGAAATGCAATTTAAGAAGTAAACCTTGCAGTGAAAATTATTGAACTGTTAAGCCCTGATGTTGTTAGATAATTTTAACCCTTTAATGATATTTTTCTATTCTAATTTTGACAAGGATTTTAGTTGTTTTTCAGGGCCAAAATTAGAGGTGTTTATATTTGAAGTGAAAGCACATATTCTGGCTAATCTAAGGCCCATGGAGTTCTCTATTGCCATTATATTGGAGAAAATTCTAAGCGGATATTCACCTATTTTTTTGCAAGTTTTTGGTAAATATATTCAAATGAACAAGACTTTGTAACATTTCTAGCACACATTTGAAATTCCTTGCATAATAATATTTGGAAAAATTTATCAAAATACACCTCACTTTTCAATTATATGACATTTTATCCTTTTTATACCATTCCAACTCAAAGTCTTATAATATATGTGCTTACCGGGTATTTTGAAATTAAATCAAAAGAGATGAGTAAAATGTTAAATAATTGCCATCTTAGATGAATTTTAATAGATTTTTCTTAAATTTTAATTTTGACCATGAAATGTCATCACATGAGTACAATATGACCCCTTCATTCAACATGTACCAAGTGTCAAGATTCATACTTAGTATAAAGAGGTCACAACCACTCATAGCCATCAATGTAAAATTTAGTAGCTACAAATGTATTACACAGTTCGAGAAATTTTATTTGATTTTTGTGCCCGATCAATCGCGAACTCTTTGCCACAAAATTTCACGGATAATAACCAATGATGATATGGCATTCTTGTGCAAAAAACAAATGGTCTTATTATATAATACATATAGTTTGCGATTACCATAATTAAAGAACCGAACAAGGACCATAAAAAAAAAGGGGGTGTATATATAATTAGACCACCGAATTGAAACTTTACAATTTGCAAAGGTACAAGAGAGCAAAAATCCTATATGAATGGAGGTCAGTCAAGAGAATCAAAGTTGAACCTAACCACACACACGGAGAGAGAGAGAGAGAGAGAGAGAGAGGGGCAGATGTTCACACAGGGGGCTGAATAGGTACCCTGCTCGAGCTGTTGGACATATCACATAATAGTCATCTCTCTCTCTTTGCATTAAATTTTGTTATCTCATTTTCGATATCCTGCAATTTTTTTAGAATTTCTCGCATGTCCATTCTACAAGAAACCCCAATACCCATAATTGCCACTAAACATGGTTGCATTTCATTTAGCCTCTTTGGTCCCCTGTTTGTGCCACCAACTTCTAATAATCTTGTATCAACAATTTCCATCACTTGATGAGGATACGCTCGGTTCACAAATTCACGAAGAGTTTTTCCATTTGAAGAAAATAAAAATCGCACATGCCATGTGGCTGAGAAAAACTAAATGTCCTAAGATTGAAACGAGAACTGCCCAATTTTTTGATAGCTGGTTCTAAATGTGGGAGAACTCAAATCTAATATTTTTAATGAAAATTAGCATCTAGGGATATGTAGGACGATCTCAAAATTTCATATAAAAAGAAAGGTGCAGTTGGCATACGAATGCATCAGTAGGTATAGAGGTAAGGTGCACCTTCAAATTTTATGATGGTATATAATTTTGTAAAATGCTATTAAGATTATCTCAAAATATATTTTTATATCTAATTATCAAATTTTAAATTTGAAAAAATGGTTAAAATCAAGTAGATCTATAAACATATGAAAATCTTGAAAATGAACGGTGTAGATAATATGTTGTAAAATACACTATTTTTAAGATTTAAAATCTTTTTATTTTTCACAGTCATACATCTCAATTCGATGGATTTTTGAGGGGTATCCGTAGTTCTACATTATAAGGTAGCATCCTTATATAATCTTTTTCCTAAAAAGAATCCTTCCATATAGCTTTTTTGCCCGAGAGATTTATTGTACAGTATATGCCTAAAGGAGGATGCTATATTATACAGGTTGAAAAATAAGGGAGAGGTAATTTGAAACTCATGTTTCTTTTGTCTTTAATTTCACCCATAAACATGGATTGTCGTACTATTTGTGGAATTCCATACTTCCACCCATAGTTTGGGCTTATATAGCAAAAGAATGAAGTTTAAATAGAAAATCCATTTTCAAAAATTGTTTGCATCATCTAAGACTTAGGCTCTCTATAGACATGGCTAAAAATCACAGCGCCACAGTCAAAGATAATTTTTTATTATAAAAGCTGATACAACAAGAACAAAAGTTAAAAACAAACAAGTTCAGTTTGAATACACATTCAAGGTTTTTTTCAAGTCCAATTTTTTATTACAAAAACTGATACAACAAGAACAAAAGTTAAAAACAAACAAGTTCAGTTTGCACACACATTCAAGGTATTTTTCAAGTCTAGGGGTGTCAATGGCTGGTCGCCGAGTCGGACACGGAGTTCGCGTTCTTGACTTTCCAAAATTTTTGTTCTTCTCTTAATGAAATTATGAGAACAACTCGAGAAAAAAATGAAATAACAAGTCTTAACGGTTCTAGGAATCTAAAATTTCCACATATGTAGAAACAAGTTGCATCTAAATTCCACACGGCTTATCTTTTCATATGAGAAGATGGGTTCCCATGAATAATTGAGTTGACCCACCTTGACTGACTTTTGGAGAGTGAGCGAATATACAGTAACTCAGTGAGAAGCAGTTAAGAGATTGAAAGAGGAGCTCCATCCATCCATTCTCTAATCAGAGATTCAAAGTAGAAAAATGGGGTTGGCCTCTACATTGCCATCTCTTCTTCGGAGTTTTACTTTTATGGAAAAAATTTATATAAAGTTGACGCTTTAAATTATAGAATTAAGGTTCACCTCAAAAATAAATCCAGAGGGAAAAGAGGGAAAAAAGCTGTCTTACTTTGAAAAAGCTTAATATGCCTCAAAATTTGGGACTACGAGTTCTTCAACACCAAGGTTGTGCCCTACTAGACTTTCCTTGTTCAATCTTGAGATGATGTTTTTCTATAGTTTGTGAATTTTTATTCTTTTTTAGATCAATCTCTAGGTCTAAGTGTTGACACTCCAAAAATTTGGCATCTTAATGATACTGCTTTTACTCGAGGGATTAAATGGACAGTATACTCCCATTGGAGAAAAATCATTTCACAACTCTCTAAAAACTCTTTGTAATTGAAATATAACTAAATTAATATGCACAATGACTCTTTAGTAGGAGGTTCTTCTCTTAACCATGTATACGCCAAGGTCATCAAAATCTTCAGTAGTTTATGTCGTTTAGAGATGAATAAACTCACCTGAGTCAGCTTTGGCTTTTTTTTCCTTTTTTTTTTAATGGTATTATTGAGATAATGAAGAGATAAAAAGGAAAAACAGAGAAAAACCAAGAAGAAACAAAGGGGAGAGGTTTTTAAAGAGAGAGACGAAAGGAGAAAAGGATAGACCAAATAGGTGAAATAAGACGAAGGGGGCAGCTCCCTCAATCAGCCGTCTTTGACTCGTTTAAAAAGTGTGAAAGAAAATTATGTGAAAGAAAATTATGGGACTTGATCGTGCATAAATATATATATATATATATATATATTATGTATGTGCAAGAGTTTTGAGTTACATATTTTTGTGGATGTTGCATGTACAAATTTATATATATAGGGGAATGAACAATCGTAAAAGACTTTATTAGAGCCAATTGTTTGACCCCAATTAAAAATATTTTGTCGAGTTACATAGTCGTCGAGTTCAAGTTGTTGAACATGGACAATTTTTTACTTTTACTACTTCTCAATGAAATGATGAAAAGATTTTGGGCGCAACGAATTAGAGAAGCAATGCATTGACTGAAAAATTAATGTTTGTAAGTTAACAAGGCGTAGCTTTTTAGCGCTAGTCTGAAAGAAATAATCAATTTCAATTGTAAAACCCTAAATATTTATATATATACTTTATTTGATCCTCGCAAAGGAAAAAACTCTTCTTAGATAGTACTGAGAAACCATCTTTTCACTCCTATTGGAATCACTGTTATGACCCCCATTTCAGAAACACCAGTTTAAGCCCTATAAAGTTAAAAAATTGCTGTGATGATTTTGCCCAAGAATTAAGCTGAAAAACACATCTAAAGGACAGAATTATGCCATAAAGTCTGTTGTGCATAGTCAGCCTCCATCATAAGCCACCAATAAATTCTAATAGAAATTTAAATTAAAAAGTGTCCAAAGTTTCCAGGAAGCTAAAACTTCTAAATTTGACATATTTTAGGCTAGTGTGACTAATTCAACCCGAGTAATTCATATTAGGGGTGCCAACGGGTTGGGTCACCCAAACAGGGACCCATACCCAGACGGGTCAAGTCCAAAATTTGGACCCAACAGGTCATCGGTCTAGTCGGATCCATTGCCACCATATGACGATGAGCTTATTATTCTTTTTTGTTTTTTTGCCCTAATTTTACTGTCATCACATATCTTATGACTACGGGTATGGGTGCGGTCTAGCTGGACCGAGACCTAAATTTGAATAGTATTTGGACCCATATCAGGGCCCGAGGTCAGGTCCACCTATCAGGTTCGGGTCTGATCGGGTCCATTGTCGCCCCTAATTCATATGACAAGATGGGTCCCCATAAATAACTGAGGTGATCCATCTTGACTGACTTTTGGAAAGTGAACTGGTGCAAACTTACTATTAATAGGTTTGCATAGTTCTGTTATTCATTGAAGCATTGTTTGGAGCTAAAGAGATTCAAAGGCAAGCTCTATCAATTCACTGACCTAAAGAGAAAATGGAGCTTATCTCTCTGTTACGACCATCTCATAGTGTGATTGCGATTGCCATATTCACCGGTTGTTTCATGAACATTATTGTTGTGCAGGCACAAGACAGGTCTAGTAATTCAACAGATGAATTGTCTCTCTACCAATTTAAGAGAGAGGGTGACATTTATGGAGTCTTGACCACATGGAACTCAGGCACGGCTTTCTGCGATTGGCGAGGAGTTACTTGCGACCAAAAGAGGGAGAGAGTCATGAGGTTGAACCTCTTAGGCCTAGGTTTGCGAGGAAGGATCAGTCCTCACATTGGTAATCTTTCTTCTCTTACCGATCTCGACCTTAGCAGCAACTCTCTTAATGGCCCCATTCCAGAAGAGATTGGGCGGTTATCTCTCTTGAAGAGCCTCAATCTGCGCAACACTGGAATAAGTAAAATTCCAATCAATTTCACTAGATGTTCTCTTCTTGAATTCCTTGATTTGTCTGCAACTTTCATTTCCAATGAATCCCTTCCTTCAGATCTTGGCTTATTATCTTCTCTGCAAGAGTTACATCTTAGTTATAGCGCTTTTCTTGGATCTCTCCCACCCGTCATTGCAAACCTTACATCACTAACCATTCTCGACCTGAGTTTTAACAAACTAACGGGAGCAATACCTGCAGATTTAGGTAATTTGATACAGTTGGAGTCTTTGATCCTTAAAGGAAACTTATTTATGGCTAAAATTCCTTATGAAATCTACAAAATGTCATCTCTTTTGCATTTGGATATCTCATTTAACAACCTAAAAGGAGAAATCACGCCAAATATTGGAAACCTCATTCATTTGACATTCTTAGATCTCGGGTTTAACATGTTGAATGGTAGTATGCCTGACGAAATCGGACAACTTGAACACTTAGAAACGTTATATTTGTCAGGAAACATTTTGTCCGGTCAAATCCCTTTGAGTTTGGTAAATTGCTTGAATCTCCGAAATCTCAACCTCTCCCAAAATAGGATAAATGGACACATACCAGCACCAATTTTTACCATGCCACTAACATCCATTGACCTCTCCTACAACTACTTATATGGAAATATCCCAAAGAATATTTCAAACACATTTTATGAGATTCACATGACTAACAACTTATTCACTGGTACGATCCCTTCTTTTCTAGGTAATTTGGAGTACCTTAAAGTGTTGGACCTCTCTGCAAATCACTTGCTAGGACAGATTCCAGAGACATTCAAGAATCTCAAAACAATTGAAGAACTCAAATTGTCTGGCAATAACTTGTCTGGAAAGTTTGTTGAAAATCTGGAATACCTTATGACTTTGAGACACTTAGATCTATCACATAATGATCTGGAAGGAGAGGTTCCGGATGAAGGGATATTCAAGGTTATTTCTCCAAATGATCTCCAACTCCGAGGAAACAAAAACCTCTGTGGTGGAACAAGCCTTGTGAACTTGCCTGCTTGTCCCAATCAAACACAAACTTCTCATCAAGAGCACAGCCATAAAACAATGAAAATAACAATCCTCATCATAAGCGTGCCTATCTCAATGATTCTATTGTGCATAACTTTGCTACTGCTGCGAAGATATAGATCGAGAAGTGGCCTCCCTTCAAGCATACAATTAAAGAGGGAATACATAAAAATTTCATATGAAGAGCTCTCTGTTGCAACTAATGGTTTTAATATGGACAACCTAATAGGCTTCGGTAGTTTTGGCTCAGTTTACAAGGGAATCCTTGGTGATGGAACCATTGTTGCTGTTAAAGTCCTCCATTTGAAACGCCGAAGAGATCTCAAGTTTTTTGTGGCTGAGTGTAGAGCTCTTAGTCGCATTCGGCATAGGAATTTGGTCAAGCTAATCACTTGTTGCTCAAGCCGGGGTGTTGAAGGTAATGAGTTCAAAGCCCTAATATTCGAATTCATGTCCAAGGGAAGCTTGGACAAGTGGCTGCACTCACCTCTTCATTCGGTTATGGATAGTGAAGATCAAAACCCCAATTTCAACTTAAATATCTTACAAAGGTTGAGCATAGCAATAGATGTGGCTTCTGCAATGGATTACCTACATCATGATTGTGCACCACCCGTGGTGCATTGCGATCTAAAGCCGGGTAATATTCTTCTAGACGAAGACATGGTAGCTCATGTGGGCGACTTTGGCTTGGCGAGAATCCTATTTCCAGTAAATCCATTAGAACATCACAGTAGCACACTTGGGCTCAAAGGATCAATAGGATATATACCTCCAGGTAATAAGTACTCTGCTTTTATAAGCTTTTTTTTTTTTTGTTATATTAAATTGTGACTTGGTTGGAAAAAAATAAACATTTCATCTCGAGATTTATCCTAAAATTGATTGCTACACAAAATATCTTCTTTGAAAATAGTTTTTTTTTTTTGTTCCCTTTCTTTGTTAGTAAGGACTAATTTTTAATAATCGTCAATAATGTAGAGTATGGTTTTGGCGCTAAAGCATCGAGGGAGGGAGATGTTTACAGCTTTGGTATTCTAATTTTAGAGATGTTCACCAGAAAAAGACCAACTAATGATTTGTTTGTAAATGGATTGAGCCTTAGAGAATTTGTTAGCAAGGCTTATCCCGATCGGGTGCTGGAGGTTGCTGATAAGAGACTCTTTGAAGGAGGAGGAACAATCTCGGGGTGGGAGTGGCAAAATCAGATGCAACCAAGCTTGGTGGCCATTATGGGCATCGGATTGTCGTGTTCTATGGAATCACCAAAAAATCGAAGCAATATGAGGGATATCTTGAAGAATTTGCAGGATATCAAGAACTCGATTGTGACTTTACATTTAATCAATGCAGCATAAGTGGCAAAATGTAATCTTCTAGGCAGCTCAACCCCCATTCCTCTTGTTAGTCACCCGTGTTTGTGAGATATCAGTAGCTCGATTTTGAATTTACATTTAAGCAATGTAGAGGGGGAATATGTAATCTTCCAGCCAGCTCAAGCCCCATACCTCTTTTTAGTCACCCCTGTTTGTGATAAATCTCTCTCTCTCTCTCTCTCTCTCTCTCTCTCTCGCTCTCTCTCTCTCTCTCCATGGAAATAGGGTGTGGGTTGCAACCTTAAAAAAATCAAATTAAGGGGCACCTCCAAATTTTATCATAACATGTAATTTTGGTGTAAAAAATTCTTAGAATGGTCTGAAAATCTAGTTTTATATCTAATTATAAACTTTTGAAGTCAAAAAATGGTTCAAATCAAGTAGATCTACAAACATATTAAAAAATGGACGGTCTAGATAATGCATTATTTTTAAGACTCGAAATCTCCTTTTTTTGTCTTTTTTCTTTTTTTTTCATATTCATACATCTCAATGTCGAGATGATCAATTAGAGGGGTTTTCAACATTAAAAAAGCTTTTTCCAACTGATTTTTGAGATACATCTTAATTCTATATTTTAAAATTGCAACCTTATATAAATTTTTCCTTTAAAATATAATAGGGAAGCATTAACCAGCCAAGCATCACTTTAGAACATTTTTTTGGTCAGCTCATTATCTCATTAAAATGGAGTGATTAGGTAATGTTGATATATATTTCTGAGAATCGTGGGTAGTGTTCAATGTTTTAACAAGAGTTTCACCTTTCATGACTTCTCTAACAATGAAGCCCAGTAAGTGAATTATTGAGGGCCAGCTTTGGTCTCCTTATCTTCAGTTTTGCCAAAGTCAGTGAAGATGGGCAAAGGAACATATCTTATCATTACTGAAGAGACAATGCCTTATCTCTTCACTTTTGGGATTTTAGAAACCAGTTTTAGCTAGTGGGCAATGCCTTCTCTTCAATTTTGGCATCCCCTTAGGAATTAAAGACGAGTCATATTTGGTAAAACATGGATATCAGGAGAGACAAAAGGAGATAGAACATAGAAAGAAAATGTTAGAGGGGATGGAAGGATTAAAAAATGTCATAAATAATTTTAAATATATAAAATAAATAAAAATTCAAATAAATGCGTTTCTTGCATCTGTGTGTACATATTTGTATCTCCCTCCCTTCAAATTTTGAAGACAATGCATCCATTTACATACACATGCTTGCATATTTGTGAATAAAATGAATAAATGCCTTATAATCTTGATTAATTAAGGAACTAATACCCTTTGGGTGTTAAAAAAATGTTTATTATGTTGTGGGGTTGGTCCTCAACATCTCACTATTTGATTTTGGGAATTAAGATTAGCTAGTGGTATTCATGGACTCTATGTAGTAGTAAATGTAACAGATGACTTTCAATTGTGATCCATGATTTTTAATTGTTTGAAAATGCAAAATTTATTAAAGTATTTCGCAAATTTTTTTTTTTGTTTTTTGAGAAATTATTGCTTCCGGCTCTCTTAATTGCACTTATAGGCTAAACAAAGTGGGTCGTATATATCATTCCCCGTAAGACTATATTTCTACATCAGCCAAAAACCTACCTAAGACTATATTTGTGTGTCGAAAATTTTCGAAGCACCTTTGCTTCACAGTTCTCTAAAACAAAAACAAAAAAACAAAAACAAAAACAAAAAACAAAAAATAAAAAGAGGGGAAGTAGAGTTCCCGAAAGCCTTGATCTAATTGTCAATCAATCAAATGGATTGATTGTTTAAAAGTTGGCAGCAACACTATTTTTTCATTTCGTAAGTGAGACCTTTTTTTTTTTCTTTTTTTTTCTTGGGAAAAAATTTCATAGATACATGTTTCGTACCTATTTATTTCGGGATGCTACACATTTTTGATAAAATTACGCAGAGACTACCCCTACCTTGCAGATATATATATATATATATATATATTTTTTTTTTTTTGGGGGGAAATTGTCTATCTATTTAATAATTCCAACTCTAGGCTAGTGGGAAATCGCACAAGTTCTCTATTTGTTTTTATTCAAAGCCTTTCCGCATATCAACAATCTATGCGGCTTGATTGCAATCAATTCTTGTTTGGAGGAAACAACGAACTTGAATACATTTTTATATGAGAAAAATGTTCTAATAAAAAGTGTATACTATGCTCCCTCACGAGCAGATTGTACATTTACTCTCTCGGGTAAAATACATATGTGGGAGATTTTTTATATTCGAAATTTAGATGATAATCATTGAAGAAGAACTTGGAGTTTGAGTTCTGAATGATTCCGGTGCAATTTTGATATACCTTTTTTTAGGCACATAGAGAGTAACAGTTTATTTTTTAATGTTGGTTACGGGGTGTAGATATCGCATTCCAACAACTTGGGATCTCAAAGTTATTCCCAATAAGTTTTACTTGAGGAAGTAGATGGGTAGAATACTCGCACATTAGAAGGAAATCTTTCATAACATAGAAAATACTCTAATATACTAAATCTTGTTATACTAATTAAATTGTAACAATTTAAATAATAATAATTACTTATAATAAGTCAAATATTTCTAACGGTTGATAACTTAGGAAATTTGGTTATCCGACATTAAAAACACCATAAAACATACAAAATTATTAAAATGCTCAAAAGATCTCATTTCTCACCATTGAATTCACTTCTTAAAGTTTTATTTCATAAAGGTTCCTCCTCAAAAATTGTCAAAAATTACCGAATTACCCATATTAAGCATTAGGAAAACTAAAGAACGAAGGATATTTTGGCAATTTGAAGCACATATGACCCAAATGACAAAATACCTTTTGGTGATTTAGGGTTGGGATAATGGAAGTGCTGAATAAAATAAACCAAGTTGTTAATATGGAGTTGGGGGCATTTTTATCATTCCTAAGAAGGGGTATTTCTCATTTGGCTGGAGTTATTAAAATGCCCCTGATTATTTAGAGTTCTTAATCCTAAACAAAAAAAATTTGGGATTTTAACTTTATAAAATGAGATTAAATAAGTAAACACTATACAAGCGTAGACATCCCTTTTGAAATTGGCGGTATTTCGAAGTCCCTTAGGCTGAAACCTAAAATCCAAGCCTCAGTAGAATAAAATAGCCAAATGAGCCATGAGCGACTATATTAGTGTAATAAAACCTTAGTGTATCCTCACCTATAGTTCCAATACCCTACATAGAATTGTTTCGGATTATGTAGAACCAATTTAGGAGAAATGTCTTGTCGCGGATCCAAGAAATGTATGTAGAAATCATGGGGCCTGCAAAACTAGGCGAGACGCATCAGCTCACATCGAGGGTGTCATGAATCCGAATCTCTGACGGCCCGAATGTTTTGGAAATTTCAGGAATTGAAGAAAAAAACACATTAAAACAACCTATAATTCCGGGCCAAAAGAAGCAATTCAAAGAAGAGTTCCTAAGTTCTTGAGTTTAGGAGAAACCCTAGAGTAAAAGCACTGGTAATGCCAAATCTAGGGCTTATGGACTTCTCTATCACTGTTGAAAATTCTAAGCAGGTATTCGCCATTTTTTTTGCAATTCTTTTGCAAACAATTAAAATTCACGAGACTATGTAACATATTTATTGCATCACATTGGAAATTCCTTGTATTGTAAATTTTAATTTGGACAATGATCCACCCCGTTTGGAATGTTTACAAATAGAGCTGAAAATTATACGGAGGACATATTACCTCAAGTCCTCAACAAGAGAGAGAGAGAGAGAGAGAGAGAGAGAGAGTAGTTACAAGTATACTAGTGAGTCGTAGAACAACGAGAGAGAGAGAGAGAGAGAGAGAGAGAGAGAGAGAACATATTTACAAAGATGGCATGAGAGAGACAGGAACATATTTACAAAGAGGGCTTGAGAGAGAGAGAGAGAGCGGTAAATGTTTACAAAGAGGGCTGGATAATAACAATTCTTTTTCTCTTTATGCATCAAACTTTAATACCTCATTTTTTATGTCTTGCAAATTTTTTAGGACCTCTCTCATGTCCATCCTCTGCTTTGGTGATTGTAATGAACAAGAAAGCCCAATACCCATAATCTCCGCTACACATGGATGCATTTCATTTAGCCTCTCTGATCCCATGTTTGTGCCAACAACTTGTAACAAACTTGCATCAATAATTTCCATCACTTGATGAGGATATGCTCTATTCACAAATTCACCAAGGTTTATTCCATTTGTAAACATCTCATCAGTTGGCTTCTTGCCTGTGAACATCTTCAACAAGATAATGTTGAGGAGTGATGTCTTGTATTCTGCAGAAATAGATCTGTCAAGGTATAGTCAAAAGGATAACTCCGGATGATTAGATATATATTGTTGCGACTCGATATACATTGTTGCGATTCAATATATATCGTTGTGTTGGGGGAGAATTAAAAGAAATATGCAGATTTCGTTGTAATCAAAGAGAACAGATAGTCGTGAGGAAGAGAGCTATTGTAACCCTATTCTCTATTGCTAGTAAAGAAACTCTCATCTCCCATTTACGTAGGCATGTTGCCGAACCACGTATATCTTTGCATTATGGTGGTTGTCTCTTTCTTTTGTGTTTGTTTCTTCTTTCTTATTTTCGTGGATTGCTTTTCGTTTCTATAAAAAATCCCAAAACTATAAACATCTCCCTTGGTCGACGCATTAATACCGAAACCGTACTCTGCAAGAACAACATTTACACTGAAGTAGTCAAGCACACTAAACAAAATAAAGAAAATATGGAACAATGAAAACTTGCCATAATGATTAGAGGCGAAATAATCTCAGATAGAAAACATAACTTTGGTGTCATTGAAAGCGATGTTGTTGATACCTGGAGGGATGTAACCGTTTGATCCCTTGAGTCCAAGCGTACTACTCTGATGTTCCGATGGAACAATTGAAGAAAGGATTCTCGCCAAGCCAAAGTCACCAACATGTGCGGTCATATCTTCATCCAGAAGAATGTTACTAGGTTTCAGACCACAATGCACAATAAGTGATGGACAATTGTGATGTAGATATTCCATGGCAGATGCTACATCTAACGCTATGCTTAATCTTTGCAAGAGATTCAAGTTCAAATGGTGACTTTGGTTCTCTCTAGCCATAAGCAAAGGATTTGGTGGGTGGAGCCACTTGAACCACTTGTTCAAGCTTCCATTGCACATGAATTCTAATCTTAGAGCTTTGAACTCCTTACCTTGGAGACCACGAGTAATGCAACAAGTGATTAGCTTGACGAGGTTCCGGTGTCGGATTCCACTCAGAGCTTTGCATTCGGCTATGAAACTTTGGGCTCATGTAGCAATAGTCTTCCTTGTTTGATGGATTATAAATTAATAAAAAAAATTTAGAGAAATTTATCAAAATCTAGCTAATTTTTCAATGATTAAACAGTACTATATTTCAACTATTCGAACTTATGGTTATGTATCTTCTCATAGATATTTTGAAATCAAATAAAAAGTATATGTAAAATATTAAATAGTTGATCTCTTATGTGTGTTTTAATAAATTTCCCAAAACTTTATTACTTCGGAATGGGACCTTCCAATGAATTCTTTGCCATGCAAATGCTTACAGGAAGGCCAATGCTTGCAAGAAGGTATGAATGGTCAAATGAATCTGGAATAATTCCTAAAAGCTTGTTCTCGGATAGGTCCATTTCTAAAAGTTGGATGGCAAGCAGCGAAGCGGGTATGGTCCCATTAATCATGTTTTGGGAGAGGTCCAAGTAAGAAAGACGGGAACAATTTCCTAAACTCGATGGAATTCCACCATATAATTTGTTCCCTGAGAAATCTAAATATTCCAAAAGATGAATTTGACCCATTGTTGAGGCAATGCTTCCACTTAAGTAGTTGTGATCCAATTATAAGTACCTCAAGTTCACAAGCTTTCCAATCTCTGGTGGAATGCGTCCAACTACACTATTATGAGATGCATCCAAATAACTAAATGACAACGTGTTGTAAATGGAGGGATGGATGCTACCATTTAAATTATTACCACTGAGCTGCAAAATCTGAAGTCTCTTTAAATGGCTCAACTTTTTGGGTATGTCCCCAGTTAGAGAGTTATCAGATAGGTCGAGCCATTTTAGAGCTGAAAGGTTTCCAAGAGAAGGTGCGATGTTTCCTTCTAAACTAATAGCTGTAAGATAGAGACTTTCTAGGTTTCCATGGGTCAGGCTCCATTCATCTTTGTTTCCTTGCATCTTCAGATTTACAAGACTAGTGCACTTTCCCAAACTCGATGGGATTCTACCAGACAAAATATTCCATGACAAAACCCAAGTGTTTTAAGCGCTGCAGTCGTCCAATTGCTGCGGGAATATTCCCACATAAGGTGCTGACTATCAAATCCAAGTGTTCCAAGCTCACAAGGTTTCCGATTTCGAATGGGATGCCCTTCAATGACCTTTGAGCTCAGGTCAAGACTCTGAGAGAGAGAGAGAGAGAGAGAGGTGTACATGTTTATACAGTGGGGTGCTTAACAAGAGGTACAATATTTGAGCAGCTGTGCTATTTGCATAGTAGTCCTCTCTCTCTTTTGCATCAAACTTTAAAAACTTATTTTTTATGTCCTGCAAATTTTTTAAGACAACTCTCATGTCCATTGTCTCCTTTGGTGATTGCAATGAACAAGAAAGCCCAATACCCAGGATGGCCACTAAACATGGTTGCATTTCATTTAGCCTCCCTAATCCCATGTTTGTACCACCAACTTCTAACAATCTTTTATCAACAATTTCCATCACGCGATGAGGATATGCTCTCTTCACAAAGATTTGTTCCATTTGTAAACATATCATCAGTGGGCTTCTTTCCGGTGAACACCTCCAACAATAGAATCTCAAAGCTACAGACAAATAAACTATAGAACAATAAAAACTTGTAAGTATAATGTTATGCACAATAATCTTAGACGGAAAACATAGCTTTGGTGACATTGAAAGCAATGTCGTTAACAAGGTCTAGAAACTCGTCTTGGCCAAGGAACTTGGGCCTCCGCTGAGGCGAGTGACTCGGACGAGTCCGAGTACTCAGACTGGAATCTTGCACTGGGGGACAAAAGCCCTAGATAAATTTAAAAAAATGAAAAATAAAATAAAGGTAGGAAAAGAAAAAGAAAACGAAAAGCAACCTAAAAATTGCAAAATAATCTTAAAAACTAATGAAAAACAGATTTAAAACAAATTGATTTCTAGTTGCGGATATCATAAAAAATCCAAAAAAAAAAAACAAAAAAAATTGGGATTATGGCAAAACATACTCAATAATCTTTGAAAAAAAATCCAAATCATATACAAAAACTTTACATAACGTTCCTATATTTTTCAATTTTTTGTATTTTTCAATATGTCCCGCGTTGTACACATAATTTGGGGTAACTCGTCATTGCCCATAGTGCAAGGCCAAGTTACTCGCTTGAGTCCAAGTGGACTCAAGTGAGTCTTGTAGCACTGGTCGTTGATACCTGCAAGGATGTAACCGATTGATCCTTTGAGTCCAAGTATGCTACTTTGGTGTTCTTATGGAACAACTGGAGAAAGGATTCTAGATAGGCCAAAGTCACTGACAGGTGCAGTCATGTCTTCATCAAGAAGAATATTACAAGGCTTCAGATCACAATGCACAATAGTTGTAAGACAATCATGATGTAGATATTCCACATCACATGCTACATCGATCGTAACTCTCAGTCTTTCCAAGAAGTTCAAGTTCAAATGGCGATTTTAATCCTCGTTGGCCATAACCAAAGGACTTGGTGGGTGGAGCCACTTGTTCAAGCCTCCATTGCCCATTTATTCTAAGATAAGGGCTTTGAAGTCATTACCTTGGACTCCATGGGTAATACAACAGGTGACAAGCTTGACAAGGTTATGATGTCGAATTCCACTGAGAGCTTCGCATTCAGCTGTGAAATTCTTGAAATCTCTATGATGTCTTAGGTGGAGTACCTTTACTGCAACAACAATTCCATCGCTAAGAGTTTCCTTGTAAACTAAGTCAAAGCTGCCAAAACCGATCAAATTTGTTGAATCAAAACCGTTGGTGGCGAGGAGTTCTTGGTAAGAGAGTTTTTTATATTCTCTTTTTAAAGGCGAGAAGAAAGGAAAATTGGTTTCTAGTATCTCTCTTCGAATCAATATGAAAGTTGCCTCAAATATAATTGCTAAGGCAATCATGATAATACCTAGAATGATTACTTCATGAGAAGAATGGAGGGGGCAAGCCGTAAAGTTCATGATCCTTGGACCCCCACAGAGCTTGTTGTTTCCTCAAAGATCAAGTGAAATAATACTCAAGAATATCCCTTATTTTGGTATCTCTCCTTCGAATTCATTGAACGATAGATTTAAGTTTTTTAGATTCTGAAAGTATTGTAGATATTTTGGTATCTTTCCCTAGAGGTGATTCCTAGATATTCCAGGTTATAATATAATTTTGGAATTGGCCCTCGCAATTATTATAAGAAAGATCCAAAACCACTAGAACTCCAATGTTACCTATTGACTTTGGAATGGGACCTTCCAATGAATTCCTGGCCATGCGAATGCTTGCAAAAAGGTATGAATCATTAAATGAATCTGAAATAATTCTTGAAAGCTTGTTCTCTGATAGGTTAACTTGAAGCAATTATGGTTCCATTAATCATGTTTTGGGAGAGGTCCAAGTAAGAAAGATGGGAACAATATCCTAAACTTGATGGAATTCCACCATAAAATTTGTTTTCTGATAAATCTAGAGTTTCCAAAAGATGAAGTTGCCCCATTGTTGAAGGGATGCTTCCACTTAAGTAGTTGCCATACAAATTTAAGTATTTCAAAATCACAAGCTTTCCAATCTCGGGCAGAATGCTTCCAACTAAACTGTTATCTGATGCAACCTAAGTCTCTAATGACGACATGTTGTAAATGAAAGTAGGAATACTACCATTTAAATTATTTCCACTAAGCCACAAACCCTTAAGTTTCTTCAAATGGCTCAACTCTTTTGGAATGACCCATGTTAGGGAGTTATCAGATAGGCTGAGGTAGTTTAGAGCTGAGAGGTTTCCAAGAAAAGGTGGGATGCTTCCTGTTAAATTAATACCTGAAAGACAAGTTGTTATAGGTTTGACAAGTTACCTATTTCTGGGTGTAAAGCTCCAATAGTCTTGTTTCTGTAGATGTTGAAATATATAAAACTTGTGCAATTTCCCAAACTCAAAGGAATTTTACCAGACAAAGAGTTCAATGACAGATCCAAGTCTTTCAAGTGCCGTAGACGTCCAATTGCTGCAGGAAAATTCTCACCTAAGTTGTTGCTTCTCAACTTTAAATATTACAAGTTAACAACGCTCGCAATCCATGGCGGAATGATCCCTGACAAAGAGTTATTACAGAGATCAAGGTATATGAGACTCGTACAGTTTTCGAAGCTCATTGGGATTTAACCAAAAAGATTGTTGTATGATATATGCAGCACCTGCAGGTCTTGAAGTTTCCCAATTGTGGGCAGAACACTTCCATCTAAGTTGTTGCCAGACAGGTCCATTTCTATTAACTTACGTAAGTTTCCAACTGCGAATGGAATGCTTCCTTCAATGGCATTTCGGTGCAGGTTGAGATGCTTCAAGAGAGATAAGTGTCCAATCTCCCTAGGGATGTTGCCAAGGAAATTGTTATCATAAAGGTTGAGGGAGGTGAGCGAGGAGAGACCACCAATGTGAGGACTAATGCTGCCAACCAAGAAATAAGTAATAAGATCCAGTTCTGCTACTCTCTCCTTTTGCTGGTCGCTTGTAACTCCTTGCCAATCGCACACAGGAACATTTGCATTCCAAGAGTCCAACTTCCCATTATGATCTATGACCTCTCTCTTAAACCGGTAGAGAGAGAATTGATCAGTTAAAAGATTGAAGGTGGTGGCTTGTGACTCCACAGAAAGAGCTTCCATGCAACACAGAGTGAGCATGGCCATACCAAAGACACCCTGTGAACTAAGCAAAGAGGCAAACTCCATGACCTCTTGTAATTTATTATGTGTTTTAGGTAGGTGAGAATGGGTACGTAAGAAATGTTGATCTAAATTGCCTAGGCTGACAATCTATACAATGTGATATTTGCATTAAGAAAGTATGTGCAATGAAATTGACCTTCCATAATTGACTCACAAATTTTGAAACAGGGTATGGGTTTTCTTTCAAAATTTTAGGTATGTTTGTCTTTATGGAGGTTTCCAGTCCTTGACCTCCCTCACCCATCATAAAAGCCAATATCTAATGTTCATTAAATATTCCTGGGAAATACTTGCTTCCATTACCAATGGTTTTAAATTGCTCTAAAGAGACAATACACTATACACAGAGCATTTTGGCCCATGGTTATAAGTTGTTTGGAATGGAGACACATACCAGACACAACCGTGTATAAGAGAGTCTAGACCATCATTTGTCAACCAACCCATCAAAATTAGTTGGATAGGTGGTGTATCTTTTAAACTCCTTACTCCTTTTCAGTGTTGATAACCCAGTAGTGCATGAGTTTCCATGCACACATAGTCCATTGCAAATATGATTTTCTTTGGCCAAAAGATGAGTTAGATTCAAACCCTTTATGGACACTTTGAATGTTCTGATTTAACATTCTATTAGTAACTGGTGACCAAGTTGGCTATGGAGTTCGAGTTGTATAACTTGGACAATTTTTGTAATCCTCAATGAATTTATGAAAGAATCCTAGGCCTTAAATAAATTCAAGTACAATTTTAGATAAACATTGTCCAAGGTTTCTAAGAAGCTAAAACTTCCAATGGAACGTAACCAAACTGGTATATTACACATATTTTGAGCTGGTATGATCAATCCCACAAGGTTTATGTCCCATGTTGACTGACTCCTGGTGAGTATTCTAAGAGGACCATCATCTGTTCTACAATCAAAAGAGAAAATGGGCCTAGCCTCTGCACTGCCATCATCTCCTAGTGTTACCGTTACCGTTACCGCCATGTTTGCTGGCTACTTCATGAAAATTATTGTTTTACAGACATAGCATGCATTCAATAAGTCAACAGACGAACTCTCTACCAATTTAAGAGAGAGGTTGATCCTCTTGGAGCCACATGGATTGCCAGTGCTCCGTTGTGCGATTGGTGAGGAGTTACTTGTGACCAAAAGAAAGCGCGACTCATAAATTTGGAACTCGTTGGACTCATTTTTCAAGGCAGCATCCGTCCTCACTAATCTCTCATCTCTAATCACTCTTGACCTTAGAGATAACTCTCTTCATGGAAACATTCTAGAAGAGATTGATCAATTATCTCTCTTAAAGAAACTCAATCTGAGTCAGAACAAGATTACTAAATTTCCTTCCAATATCACTAGATGTTCTCTTCTTGAATTCCTTGACTTGTCTTGGAACGGTATTTTCTATGGAAGCCTTCCTTACGAACCCAGACAATTATTGTACCTAAAATGTATGTCTCTTTGCCGTAATCGATTCGTTCGACCCATCTTACCTTCTTTTGGAAACCTTTTATCTCTGATGGCCCTCAGCTTGGCCAACAATGCACTACAAGATACAAAACTGAGTTAGGCTATTTGATAAAACTGGAGAGTTTGTACCTTGATGGAAACAACTTAAGTGGTAGTATCCCAACAGAAATCAAATGATTTCAATAGCTAGAATGGTTAGGTTTGTCAGCCAACTTATTTTCTGGCAAAGTCCCTTCAAGTTTAAGAAATTGTTAATATCTTCTTCACCATGAGGTCTCCAAAAAAAGGATATAAATGGGACCATACCGGCACCAATTTTTACATTGGCATTGAATTTTATTGACCACTCTGATAAGAAGTCATCCGGAAATGTTCCTATAAAGTTTCCAAACTAGTTATAATATTTCGCATGGCTAGAAACTCATTAAATGGTAGAATCCCATCACTACGTAGGCTGGAGCATGTTGACGTTTGGACCTCCCTGGTGCAAGGACAGATTCCAAAGACATTTGTGAATCTTACATCAATAGTAGCAATTAATCTGTCTGACAGTCACTTGTCTGGAGAATTTCTAGAGAATCTGAAATACCTTATGAGTTTGAGATGCTTAGATCTTTCTTACAATGAACTGGAAGGAGAGGTTCCAGATGATGAAATATGCAATCTTCTTTCTCCTCATGATCTCCAACTCAAATGAAACAAAATGGTTTGTAGTGGTCAAAGTAGTCGCTCATGAAGAACATAGCCACAAAGCAATGAAAACAGCAATCCTCACCATAAGTTTGCTAATTGTAAAGATTCTATTGTGTGCAACTTTAGTAGTGTTGCAAAGAAAGAGATTGAGAAGGGGCCTCCATTCCAGTCCGCAGCTAAATAGGGAATACATAAAGATCTCATATGAAGAGCTCTTTGTCGCAACCGATGGTTCAATAAAGACAATCTAATAGGTTTTGGTACCTTTGGTTCAGTGTACAAGGGAACCCTCAGTGATGGAGTCATCCTTGCTGTTAAGGTCGTCCACATAAAATGCTGAAGAGATCTCAAGAGTTTTGCAGCAGAGTATAGAGCTCTTAGTAGCATTCGACACATGAATTTGGTAAAGCTAATCACTTGTTGCTCAAGCCGTAGTCTCCAAGGCAATGAGTTCAAAGCCCTAGTATTTGAATTCATGCCTGCTCCACCCACCAACTCATTTAGCTATGGTTGGTAAAAATTAAAACCACCATTTCAACTTAAATCTCCTACAAAGGATGAGCATGGCAATCAAAGTAGCCTATGCAATAGATTACAAACATCATGAATGCCCAACGACAATAGTGCATTGCAATCTAAAACGAAGTAACATTCTTCTAAATGATGGAAATCCTTGCACATGTGAGCAATTTTGGCTTGGCAAGAATCCTTTCTCCCATGACTACACTGGAAAATCAAAGTAGCGCATTTGGGCTCAAAGGATCCATAGGATGCATACCTCCAGGTAATAACCACATAGCATTCGATATCAAGTTCTACTTTGGAAAGAATTATTCTATATGAAGTGTCCTTTTTATACTTACTATTATTTTCAATAAGGAGTAAATCAAAGATATCGCTGTTAATGTAGAGTATGGTTTTGGAGTTAAAGCAACAAGATAGGGATATGTTTATAGCTTTGGTATTCTACTGTTAGATATGTTCATAGGATAGAGAGCAACTAATAATATGCTTCCAAATGGCTTGAACCTTGATGAGTTTACGAGCAAGGCTTATCCCGATCGAATGATGGAAGTTGCTGATAAGAGGCACTTTGAAGAAGGTGGAGCAAACAGGGTATGGGCGTGGCAAAATGGGGTGCAAACAAGATTGCTGGCCATTATGGGCATCAGATTGTTCTGTTCTATGAAGTCACTAAGATATTGAACCAATATGAGAGGGATCTTGAAGAATAAGCAGGATATCAAGAACTCGATTTTGAACTTACATTAAGCCATGCAGAGAATATGTAACCTTCCAGTTAGCTCAAGCCCCATACCTCTTGTTACTCACACCTGTTTTTGAGACATCAAGAACTCGATTTTTACGCAATGCAGAAGGAACAATATGACATCTTCCAGGCAGCGCAGGCCCTATACCTCTTGTTAGTCACCCCTGTTTTTGAGGTATCAAGAACTTGATTTTTAATGCAACGCAGAGAGGGCAATATGTAATCTTACAGGCACAACACAGAGGGAGTAATATGTAATCCTCCAGGCAGCTCAAGCCCCATAATTATTGTTAGTCATCCCTGTTTGAGAGAAATCTCTCACTCTCTCCATGTATGTGTGTCAATATAATTGCTAAAACTAGGAATTTGACACCTCCCCTGCAGAAAATACATTAAACTTCCCATTAACCTCAATCCAACTCAATCCAGGCCTCTTCTTTGCTCCTTTTCTCCTCATCCTTTCTCTTATCTCTCCAGCCTCTCCCCATCTCTCCTTAGCCCTATACACATTTGACATCAACACATAATGCCCATAATTCTCAGGCTCTAAAACTTTTAGCTTATCAGCTGCTCTCTCTGCAACTTCAACAACTCCATGAGAAACACTCGAACCCAATAGAGAACCCCAAGCACCTGAACTAGCCTCATTGGGAATCTTCCTTAAAAGTCTCTCAGCTTCTTCTAGTTCACCAGCTCGACAAAGAACATCGACCATACAAGCACAGTTCTCTGAAGTGGGTTTAATTTGGTAGGCTCGGATCATTCGAGAAAAACATTGCCAACTTTCCCTTACTAGACCCGAGTGACTACAAGCAAGCAAAACACAAGAAACTGTAATGTGGTTTGGTCTTAGGCCTTCTAGTTCGAGTTGAGAGAAAAGAGAGAGAGCTTCTCTGCCCTTCCCATGAACACCATAACCCACTATAAGAGCATTCCAAGAAGGTAAGTGTTTAACAGTCAGAGATATAAAAACAGAGCACGCACTGACAATGCATCCACATTTTGCATACATATCTATGAGAGAAGTTCCAAGAACAGAGTCCATTCTTGAGATAGTTTTAACAACATGAGCATGGAGAGCACGACCATGCTCCATAGCTGATGAGTATGAGCACCCAAAGAGAAGGCTGGCCATGGTGAAGGAGTTAGGAGAGAAGCATTCCATTTGCATTTCACGAAATAATCGAAAAGCTTCTCTCACTTCCCCCTTCTGGACATACCCATCAATCATAACATTCCAAGTGACTTCATCTCTTTCTAGAAGCTGATCAAACAAACTTCTAGAGATGCCAATTTCTTCAACGCTGCAGTAAATCAATAAGAGGGAATTGATAAGGATCATGTCAGATTTGATTTCTCTTCTAAGTATGTATCCATGGATTTGCTTCCCTTTTTCAAAAGACCCAATTTCTACACATGCTTGTATAATGGCAGAAAGAGTTACATGGTTTGGCTCCACGCCCTCAATTATCATCTTGTTAAAAACATTTAACGCACCCTCATAGAGATTGTTATTTACATAACCTGAAACCATGGAATTCCAGGAAACCAAGTCTTTCAAAGTCATCTCTTTGAACATTTTCCATGCATTACCCATGTCTCCCCTCCTAGAATACATAGTTAATAGTGAATTGTTCACAAAACAGTCAGATCCCAGTCCACTCTTGGTCACAAATCCATGAATAACTCTACTGTCCAAACCAAGTTTCCCCAAGTTAGAATCTTCAAAAATTAACTTCACAAGAACACCAGAATTAGGATTTAGTCTGGCTAATATCTTAATGGCTCGCTCCTCCAATCCCTTCCGTGAAAATGACAGAATAATGTCAGCCCATGAATTTATCCCTTGTTGACACATGCCACTAAAGTAAAGGCAAGCAAGTTCTAAGCTTTCACAGTTTATATACATAGCCAAAATAGAGTTTGAAACTAAGGAGTCAGAGCTCATACCACTGATAATGGCATAGCCATGAAAGCCCAAACCTTGTTGGAGAAACTCTTTGGAGTTACAGGTTGATATAACAGAGGCAAGTATAACTACACCAGGCCTAGCTCCTTCTAACCTCATATCCTGAAACAAACTCCATGATTTGCTTAAATCACCAGCACGAATATAGCAGGTAACAATGGCGGTCCAAATTGAGAGGTTTCTATAACTAATTCTATCAAACAGCTGGTGTGCAGCTGCTACGAATCCAAATTTAGCATACATTTCAACAAGATAGCATAATATTAATCCATCTCTATCTAATTTAGCTTCAACTATCTCGACATGAATCCTTTTACCCAATTCCAATTCCCCAAGCTGAGTACAGGCCTTAATAAGAAATGGGTAAGTAAACTTATCTGGTTTTAGGCCCAAGTAGAGCATTTCATGGTATAGTCTGAGAGAAGCTTCGAAGAGGCCATTAATGGCGTTGCCTCTTATGATTGAATTATACAATAACACATTCTTCTCGAATCTCTGGTCAAATACAAGCTGTGCTGACGTTATGTTACAAGTATCAGAATACATGGTTATGAGTTTTTGGGAAAGAAAGAGGCTCTTTTCGAGCCCTTTTCTGATCAAATGGGCGTGAAACTCCATCACTGAACTTGGGCTTTTCAGGATTCGATTGCAGAGGGCGTTCAAAGAAGCCATGGCGATGAACTTTTAATAGAAATGACGGTTTTGATATTGTTAATGGACATGGATTTGGCTTGGGTTCCATGGAAAATCTCTAGAGCTACATATCATTCACATCTTTATTAGAGTGTGGATCATGGACCTCTGTAAATTTGGATCCAAGATCTATATCAAGAGTGGGTGTTAGAGGGAGCCCGCACGAGAATAGTATGAGTTTGGGGACCCATAAAAACCGACTCCTGAAAAAAAAACAAAAAGGTAAAAGTTTATAGAGGCTTTAAACGATCAAATTAGAGCCTACCTCAAAAACTTCATTAAAAGAGGTTGTTTTGATACCCAAACATCCTTAAATTGATCATCTTGACATCAAGATGCATGGACATGAAGAAAAAAATAGATTTCAAATAGTATATTTTATAACGTATTTTTGAACTGTCAGTTTTCATGATTTTCAAGTTTTCATAGATCTCTCAATCTATACTATTTTTTAAGCTTTAAACTTTATAAATAAAAATAAAAATATATTTTAAGGCTATCAAAAAGATTTCCGATATTGAAACCACATTTCTCAATATTATTTGAAGGTAGGCTCTATACAAACCACACAAACTTATTTAGATGGGGGACTCATGGAAAAGATAAAAATTTATTTAAAAGGAAAAGTTTATATAGATCCGAGGCTCTAAACAATCAAATTAGAGCCTACATAAAAAAAAAATTACTAGAAGGTTGTTTTGATACCCTAATATCTTCAAATTGATTATCTCGACATCAAGATGCATGGACATAATAAAAAAAATGGATTTCAAGTTCTGGAAATAGGGTATTTTGTAATGCATTTTTTAACTTTCAATTTTCAAGATTTTCAAGTGTTCATAGATCTGTTGATCTAAACTATTTTTTAAGCTTTAATTTTATAAATAACAATGAAAATATATTTTAAGACAATTACAAAGATTTTCAGTATTGAACCCAAATTTCTCGACGCTATTTGAAGGCAGGCTTTAATTTGATTGTGAGCCTAGGCTCTATACAAACCGCACCCTTATTTAAATGATGGGCTTGGTGCCTCATCCATTTTAAATTAAAATATAACTCTTCTATATAATTATAATTCCAAATAAACCCTTAAGTCCATAAAAAACCTAGGGAATCTTCCAAGTAAAAGAAAAGTTTGTTTAGAATATACTTATCTCTATCGTGTGAATGGATGGTTGGGATGGCCGTGACAATGTCAGTAGTCAGATTCTTAGCACATAATTTTGATTGGACGACTCATAGTATTTTATTTCTTTATAATTTATTTTTATAGTGAATTTTGGAGTATGCAGTCCTCTCATGGAAGTGTGCACATGATAAAAAATGAGAAAAAAAAGATTTTTTGATGAAAAAAAAGATTTTTTGATGAAAAAAAAGATTTTTTGATGAAAAATGACCAAAATACCTTTGAAAGTTGCAAGAGTATTTTTTTGTCATTTTTACCCAAAAAAAACTTATTTGGAGCTTGTAAGGGTATTTTGGTTATTTTTACCAAAAAACTATCTATACATTTTATTTTTGCTAGGTGCTCACCAATAAAGTATAAACATGCCACAAATTTCATGTAGAACTGAAAATAAATAAATATCAAACGATAGGTTCGATAGTGTGACTAAAGTTATCCCAACTGATCCTTCATGGTGATTTTCAAAGTTGTTCTTTTAGTTCATACCTTTGTTCGTAAATGCAAGAAATAGGAATCAATCAGAAAGTTAAGGGTAATTGTAACCAAGACAATTATTACTACGGTATATAATTCGTATTTTAATTTTAATTAATTTTCAAGATTAGTAAAACTATTAATTTTCTATTAAGGTTGAGGGAGGGTTGAATTAGTTAGTCTCAAGACTATTGGCAAGAAGTTAATATTTTAATGGTAAACATCACAGTGTTGGTAATGAGCCGGGTGACCGGCCTCAGCCCAATCGGCGATGCCCTAAGAAACTAGGGCTTGGGCCACAAAATGTGGCCAGAGGCCTTTGTGGCCCAAGACCGGGCCTAGGTGGTACCACTGAGGCCCATGCCGTGCCTAGGCCAAATCTACAACTAGGCCACTTCTGCCCCGCCTATGTGTTCCCCTTATTTTTCTTTTATTGTCTCAATCTTCAAGGCCCAGCCCGACTATTGCTTGGCCTAGTCCATGATAGATTTGATCCAGTTCCGCCAGGACCAAGACCGAGCCTAGTCCAAGGGTAGCCCTTAACTTTGCCGGGACTAATATCACTAAAATTGTCAAAATCACTTGAAAAAATAATTAGGGAGGTCAAATCAACTAATTTAGCATTATAGTTGTTACTTTATAATATTTATTTGAGGTGCTAACACAATATTGTTCAAATATGACTAACTTGACTCAATTCTAGCTTCTAAACCTGAACAAGCAGTGGCATTTCAATAATTTCACCTAATGAAGTCACGCGAGTCCTGAGCCACCTCTTCAAACCTTCCATCAACCATGAATGAAGTAGGATGGAGGACTGCAGTTTATACTTTTTTGAGGGAGGGAGATTAAAGTTCCAGTGACCCCTGAAGCACTTCCTTCAAAACTTCAGACATTTGCAAAAGTTGAGAGAGATAAGGAAAAGAGAGCTTGAAATGATGGAGAGAGAGAGAATAGAACCATTGACCATGAAAATCAAAATTCTCAGGTTCAACTGTAACCAAAAAAATCTTGTTACCCAAACAGGGGTATAGCTACAATTCCAGAATAGCTCAGTTCAAGACGGCGATCTGATTACCCTAGGGTTGTGTATAAGCTAATATTATTAGAGAGTTTATATAATGTAGTATTGTTTTATATTAGAGAAGTAAGTTTTATCTTGAAAAGCCTTTTGAAAAGGTTGTTCTGGTTTAGAGATCCTTCCAATTTATCATCTCAACTTCGAGATTTATAGATTATGAGAAAAAGAGAAGTTTAAGTGTCAAAAATAATGCATCTTGTGATATATTATCTTTCAGTCTGTTTTCAAGATTTTCAAATAGTTATAGATTTGATCAATTTGTATTTGTTTTTGAAGCTTTAGATTTCATAATTAAAGGCGAAAATAGATTTTCAGACCAAGAATAAAATTACCGCTTTTGACAAGGTTTGTAGAACTTCACCTTAAAAATGTATGAATGTCACTAAACGGCCAGCCCTAGTTCGGAGTTTGGGTATCACTAAAGGGGGCCTGGCCCAGGCATGGCCTTGGGCTTAAGAGGTTGGGCTCTACTCCAGTCTGATTCGGGTTTGGCCAGCCTGACATAATGAATTCAATATGAAAACTATAAAACATAGGCCAAGTTGGGCCTCACTAGCCATGGGCCTTGGCCCGAAAATGCTGGCCCCTCAAGCCAAGATGCCCCTCGGGCCAACTTTTGTGTCGGAGGCCCAGGTTTCTCAGCCAAGGTAGCCTTTGGGCCAACTCTTGCCGCGGGGTGTTTCCCGGTACCGGGCTGGGCTGGGCTGGGCTCCTGTCCCAGCCCTAAATTCCCTAACCCCCTTTTGCTGGGTAATACCGTCTTTGGGACATTGATAAGGGGAAGTTTAGTCTTTTTTTTTCATATAAATTCCACCCTTTCTCCTTATCCTATCTCTCTCTTCTTTGAAGTAGGAATGGCGTTAACACTGGGTGCTGCTCCGATGGTGCTCAATTTCCCCTCCTTATCATCCAGGGCCTCTCTTTCCTTCAAACCTAATTTTGGGTTTTCTCTCTCTAATGTTTCTCCCTCCTCTTCTTCACTTTCTATGGCTTCCACTGCTCCATTGTACCCGTCGGGTGAGTACAAACCAATGCTCTCTCTCTCTCTCGCATTTGATTTCATCAGTTTCTGTGTCTTGTATAGCTCCCATTATTTCTTTGATGAAAGTAATGATTGTCAAGTGTTTTCTTCTCTCTCTAACCCTGTCTTTTAATTTGCCCTTCTGCTGTCTATTAGCTTTGGAAATCATCTCTCTCTCTCTGAAATCAAAAGTTTGTTCTTTGCTTGTTTTCAGTGTTCTGTGGTAGGGGAGACAGGAAAACCGCGAAAGGAAAGCGATTCAGCCATTCATTCGGGAATGTGAGTTAATTGAGCTCATACTCATCTTAAATTTGCATGTTACAGTGATTTTTATGAGCCTCGAATGAATCATTTTTCTCCCTATTCCCCCAACTCCCCTAAGTCCTTGTAACCCAAAAACTCTCCCCCCATTTGTTTGATGAATTAACATTGGAAAGTACACTCTCAGGCAAGGCCTAGGAACAAGAAGAAAGGGAGAGGGCCTCCTCGTGTTCCCGCTCCTCCTTTGCCACCCAAGAAAGACCGTTTTGACGACGGGGAGGTTGTTAAGATCCAAATCGATGAGTCCATCTTTTCTAACTAAACCTCACTCTTTCTCTCTCTCTGTTTTGTTTATAAATGAAGAACATGCTCTCTGTTCAATGACTTGATTGTTGAAATTTGTAGCTGATGTGCTATATTGTAACATTTCATTCTGAGAAAGTAAGAAGCTGTGTTTCTTTCAGGGAGCTAATGGAAATTCTGGACCTATTTTGTATTTCAATGTTTTGTACTCTTTCCTCAATGGAGCCAGTGGATATGGTATCATGCTGTAGTATGCTACTTGTTTGTTGTATTGTCTACTTGGCTTTGATAGATGTGCTGTGCTAATATTTTGCTAATATTTAGATGGCATTGTCTACAAAGAGATCATCTATTTTTTAAAAAAGTTTATATAAGGCTGAGGCCCTAAACAATGAAATTAAAGCACACCTCAAAAATTAATTAGAAATTTTTTTTTCGATGCTCAAAACCGTCTGATCCAATCATCTCAACCTTGATATGTATGGACCTAAAAAAAAAGGGACTCTGAGTCTTGGCATAGTATATCTTGTAATGCATTATCTAGATCATCAATTTTTAAGATTATCAAGTGTTCATAGATCTGCATGAACTGCATTATTTTTTAAGCTTTAAATTTTATAATTAGATATAAAAATAAATTTCAAACTATAATAAATATTTTTGGTACTTAACGACAATCTTTCGAACTTATTTGAAGGGGCACCTTACTTTGATTGTTTAGGGCCTCAGTTTTATACAAACTACAACCTTTATCTTTTATATATGGAGGTCACAATCATTCACACTCATTATATGTCAAGTTGGATTGCTTGAGGTGAAAATAGGGGAGAGAGAGAGAGTTTTAGAGAGAGAAGATAATTTTATTTATTTTGGAATCGTTTTCATATTTATTTATTTTTTCCTTAAAGTCTATTTAAAGGGAAGAGTCCATCATTGTAAAGAGATCTGAGTAATGATTAAATTTGGTCTTGTGAATAAATCGTTTTTGGAATGGATTCCCTTTCAGTCCTTGGGAGAGGATATATTCTATCAATTTTTTTCTGGTTTTATTTTTATTATTCCGAATTTATTTTCTCTTTATATCAATTAGTATCAGAGCACATTAGATCCAAAAATAGCAAATAAGATCATCAATTACAATGCCGTTGAAACCTGTTATTAAGATCGAGGATATATTCTCTCAATCATTTTCTTTTCTTTTTATTGTTTATTGTTTCGAAAAAAAATTCTCCTTGCATTAATTAGTATCAGAGCAAGTTAGATCCAGAGATAGTAAGTAAGATCATCGTTTACAATGCTGCCAAAACCTCTTTTTACGATCGAGGATATATTGCCGCAACTCGTGGATTATATGGGCTAGTGGATTCAAGAGATCTTGAACACAGTCTTGGAGGGTATATGAGAAATAAGTGAAACCAATTAGAGCTTGCAACGATTAGAGGATTTCATTCATCGAGAAGAGGGCGTCGCAACCACGTGGATTTAGTGTCAAAACTCACCATAGAGACGAGTCGAGTCGAGTTCCCCGACCGACTCAGGTTGCTAATTTAGATCCCGCTCATAAAGAAATTTGCAGATAAAATCCACGTCCTATGGAGTATCAACATGATCTGCTCGATTTTCTCAAGTTTTACGATGAACGTGTAAAAGAAAAAGAAATCATGATTGAGCATGAGAGAAGTATTCTACTTCGAGATATGCACTAAGTTATTTGATGAATCTATTTTTTGAAGAAAAAGTATTGAGGCTCATAGTGGGACTTCATCTCTAACTTTTGAGAAGGCCCTTAAAAGATTTGAGTTCGATAAATTCGAGGACGAGTTTCTCCTAACCCGTGGAGAATGAATAAAATTGTAGTCATTTTATTTTATTACTCTTTTGTTTATTTTTCTTAATAATAGGAATTGAGCTGGGATAATTAATAGGGGAGGGAGGATTTCGGTACGTATTGTTAAATGTATTGTTAAGTGGGAGGATTTTTTGGAATAGATTAGGAATAATCTTTTATGTAGGATTTGGGACATGATAAATATCACGTGAGAATGAGGGAGCTATTTTGGGGAGGCTGGTAACATGATGAAGAAAATAAGGAGACAGTGTGTGAGGGATATAGGGAAGAGATTTATGTGGAAGTGGAGGGAGAGAAATAAGGGAAAGTTGTAAGTGACTTTTAGAGAGATAAGAGAGTTTTTTTTTTTATGGGTTTTTTTATTTCTTATTTTAGTCTATTTAAAGAGAGATATCCCTTCTTTTGTAAAGAATAAAAAATGAGAATTGAGTAAATTTCGTCTTGTGAAAAGATATCCCTTCTTTTGTAAAGAATAAAAAATGAGAATTGAGTAAATTTCGTCTTGTGAAAAGATCATATTTTGGGATGGATTCTCTCTCAGGTTTTGAGATATGGTATATTCTTCGAGAGATTGTATATTCTCTTAACTTATGATGCTGTCGAAACCGAAACCTACTCTTAAGCTTGAGGATATATTGCTGGATTATATGGGCGAACGGATTTAAGAGAGCTTGAACACATCCGTGGGGGGTATCCGACGAGAAATAAGTAAAACCAATCAGATGTTACAACGGTTGGAGAACAACCTTCATCGGGAAGAAGTTGCTTGCAGCCGAATCGATCTTACAGTAATACTCCCACAACAAACACTTACACATCAAACTCTTACACCAGTACTCCCACAACAAACTCTTACACAAGTACTCCCACAACAAACTCTTACACCAGTACTCCCACAACAAACTCTTACACAAGTACTCGCACAACAAACTCAAGGTGTTGATCCCGACTGTAATAAAAAAATTGTAGACAAGATCCACATCCTATGCAACGTCTACGAGATGTATTTCATAAAATACAATCGGAGGAAGAAAAATATGAAGAGGTAGATCTCGGTGCAAAAGACAACGTTTTAGCCCAAACGTGGAAGAAATTTTGAAAACCAGTTGTGAAGAACTCAATAGTCATTGTGGTATTCCAGAGTTTGGTGTCTCAAACTTTCGCCACAAGTCGTGTTGAATATATTGTTTATTTATTGAAAAAAAGTTTCAAAGTCGCATAGCGGGACTGCATCACCAGCTTTTGAGAAGACTTTTAAAATATTTGAGTTATATAAGCTCATGTCGAGCTTCTCATCACCCTCTTTTGAGAGAACCTTTAAAAGATTTCAGTTCTATAAGCTCAGGTTGAACTTCTCATCCCCTTCTTTTGAGAAGACCTCTAAAAGATTTGAGTTATATATGCTCAGGTCGAGCTTTTCATCACATTCTTTTCAAAAGACCTCTAGAATATTTGAGTTTTATAAGCTCGAGGTCGAACTTCACCCAACAGGAGGATTTTGGGAAATAAATAAGAACTAATCTTGGAAATAGGAAATTTAATTAGATTTAGATAGAGACGGAGGCTCCTATAAATGAGAGAAAATAGGGAAAAGGAGATTGAGAGAAAATAAAGAGAGAGAGAGAGAGAGTGAGAGTTTTAGAGAGAGAAGAGAGTTTTATTTATTTTGGATTTCTTTTTTTTTTTGTTTAGTTTTTCCCTAAAGTCTATTTAAAGGGAAGAGTCCATCGTGGTAAAGAGATCACGGAACGAGAATTGACCTTCAAAAAGATCTTTTTTGAAAAGATTTTTTTTTGGGTGGATTCCTTTCGGCCCTTGAGAGATGGTATATTCTCTCAATTTATCTTTTTTTTTTATTATTCCTATTTTATTTTCGCATGCCATACGAGGAATAAGTGCCCAAGTTTTTTCACTAACATTGCTGAAATATGAACCAACTTTTCTTTTTTCTTTTCTAAACAAAAGAATATTATGGCCTAGGTTCCATATCTTTTCTCACAGAGGCGGTAAAAATAAAATATACATAAGGGAAAATTTTGGAGACCAACTTGACCGCCTTGGGGACATTTACATCCAAATAAATTTGAATGAGGTTCTTGAGGCTTAGGCACTATGAAATCAAAATAAAGCCTAACCTCAAATCCTGGTTTGAAAGTACTTTGGGATACGGGTATTTCTACAGTGGCTCTAAAATCAATTTACAATACGGACAATAAAATTTGAAACTTAAAAAATCGTATAAATCTTGTGGATATGTGAATATTTATTTTTAAGGCAGAGTTTTGGAGTGCGGTTTATAATATAAGGTTGCAACTTTATATAAACTTATTCCTTGAATTATAGTGGCAAGCTTATCACCACCCATATTCAAGATGGATGGTAGAGATAAGTTGGTATTGGTATTCATCTCCCAGCAATTAGCGGTTGGTGCAATCCTGATGACAACAACTTTAGGAGAAACATCACAATCCCTTGAGGAGAGGGACCCATCACCTCTTTATCTAATTTATTTTTTGTGTAAAGGTAATTTTTGTTATTCAATGCAATAATTTTTTTCAAAAATAGCATTAATCAGTAACTACTATATTATGTAAGCGGTGTACTTATCATCTTCTTGTTGACTTTTTTAATTTCCAAAATAGTGTTATTATAATATTTTTATTAAAATACAATTGAATTTAAATAAGCGACAATAAATGTCTAGAGGATTAGAGCCTTTGCATCATCGGTGAATGTAAATAAAATAAGAAAAAAACTTTACTACTTTTGTTATAAGAAGATCACAATTGTCTTTAGTTGTCAGATGTGAAATATGACGGTTAAAATTCTACCATTATTCATTCTAAAAAGTCTTTTAAAAGTACAAAAAATAAAACACCTCTAACAACCCAAGCTGGCCAAGGATAATGGTGACCTTTGACCGTCAAAAGTCCAAAGATCAGGTGCACCGAACTTGTGAGCAATTTAGTCTAATCAAAATCAAATCAATTAGCAATCGAACCGGTTGGTTTAGATGTTGAAAAATACAAAAAATAAAAATAATAGATTAAAATATGAAATATATTAATAAAAAATTTATCAACTTTGTTAGCTAGTTAAATCGGTCAAAAATTAAACAATTAGATAGACCAAATCAATTAAGTTTGAACAACTTTCATTTAAAAAAAAAAAATTATTAATTTTGACCATCTTTTAACAAAACGAAAATTTTACTTGAGACTTATCCATATCCAGCCAAAGCACTAATGATGCCGGGTAGTTCTCAAATCTGGATAACTAACTATCTCAAGGTTTGGACTGATACTGTACAATCCATGAAAACCTTTGGAATATATTATTTGTATATGATTGAGAATGATTAATTCCTATTTGACAATAAATAACACATTGAGATAAACATTCTTTGACAATAAAGAAAACCATTATCAGGTTCTGAATTGTCTACATACCGTCATTGTAAACAACGTGCTGTCTTCTTTGCCGGCTCTCCTCCCACCTTCTCTTTTAATGCTTGTTTATTGGCTCTTTCCCTCAGTTTCTCTCTCTTGAAAGAGCTCTTGAGTCTTGACCTCTGATTCTCTCTCTTGAAAGAGCTCTTGAGTCTTGACCTCTGATTCTCTCTCTTGTTTTGTACTCAGAGATTCCCCCTTCCCTCTCTGCTAAAAAGCACTTCCTCTGTCTCCTTCTCTAGCTGTTATGGAAGAGCTCTCTCTCTCTCTCTCTAACATAGCAAAATTCTCTCTCTCTCTCTTGTTCATTATTGGATCTCTTTCTCTATAAACAGAGCAAAATTTCCTGTGATTCTCTCTCTTGTTCATTGAAAGAGCTTGATAAGACTCTGTCTCCAAACTTTTATGATATTGGGTCTCTCTCTCCAAACTGTTATGATATTGGGTCTCTCTCTCTAACAGAGCAAAAATTTCTATGTTTCTCTCTCTTGTCCACTGATAGAACTTGATAAGACTCTGTCTCCAAACATTTTTGAAATTGGGTTCTTACCTTTAAGCTAAGAGACAGCTCAAAACATGTCAGAGATAACAGACGAAGATGGGAATATGGATTCAGAAGCACAGAAGAACATGATTAGGAGGATCATTCAGTATCAGAAGCTCTTGTATCTCTCATCCTCTGCTGCTTCTTCTTCTTCCTCCTCCTCCTCTCTCTCTGCTTCTGCTTCTTCCTCTCTCTCTTCCTCTTTCTCGTCATTGTCTCAGAGAAGATTGACTTTGCTGGAGCTGATGAAGGCCAGGAATGGCTCCCTCAAGAGACTGTTCAGCATGGAGCACACTTCTCTCTCTAAACACTTTAATGACTACAGTGGTTCACCTGTTATCAAGCCTCTGTATCTTTGGGAGAGTGACACAGATGAAAGCATTCCGGAACCAGCTCTGCCATGGCCAGCTGAAGAGAAATTCAGAGTAGAGAGTGTAGAGAGAGGGGAAGCCATAGATCGAGCTCAATATATATTGAAGGAAGAGGGTAGAGAGAGAAACGATGACACGAGTAAAGTCCCTGATTTTTCGAGGCCGAGATTCGGAAACCGGCGAACATTGACAAGGAAAAAATCATACAGGGCTCTACCACGGTTCAGTCGGTGGAGATGGAGAGGCTTTAGACTGAGGTTGAGGAGGCTCAGGATCTTCGTATGTGGAAGAATAATTTGATTGTATAAATTTTACAAAGAAATGATGATGTACAAAACAGAAATTGCTACAAAGAAATTAAGCTGTTAAATCGACACCATTAAAATGATAATCATCTAATGAAAAGAAAAGGAAAGAGGGAAAATTACTGACAAATCTCCTTTTAAGTTTTCTATGTTTTAATGATCTAAAATTTGAGCGGTTTGTACTTTGTACTTCTCATCATGCACCTATAAAACAATGTAAAAGAAATAATTCAATTAGAAAGAGTAATGATACTAGGAGACCCTCCGGTATCCATTGTATGTAGGACTTTAAAATCTATGTGTATAGGACCTCAAAGGATTGCCATTAAAGTCAGATATCCATGTGTGCAGGATTTCAAATGATCACCATTAAAACCAAGTCTTACACCAATGTGATAACTTTTCTAGAGATCTATGTCAAATTTAATGGTGATCATTTAAGACCCTCCCACACCAATATGTGATCTTATGATACCCTCCCACACCCATGTATTTAGAACCCCAACGATCACCATGAAATAGCCAAATCCCCTATAAGATTTAGGTTCTTTTGGTATTTTTATTTCTTTCAATTACATTTTCTTTTTCCTTTTTAAACATATACACTAGGGTGAGAGCAGTGTTTGCAAACTGCGAGCGGTTTGTATAGGGCCGAGGCTCTAAACTATCAAATTAGAACCCACCTTCAAATAGTATCGAGAAATATAGCTTCAATATTGAAATTTTTTGACTAGCCTTAAAATATATTTTCATCTTTAATTATAAAATTTAAAGCTTCAAAAATAGTGTAGATTAAGTAGATCTATCAAAACTTGAAAATCCTGAAAATCAACGGTCCAAAAATACATTACAAGATGTACTATTTTCAAAACTTGAAATCATTTTTTTTCTCATGTTTATGCATCTTGATGTCAAGATTATTAATTTGAGCATTAAAACAACCTCTTCTAGTGAAATTTTTGAGGTAGGCTCTAATTTGATTGTTTACAGCCTAGGCACTATATAAACTTTTCCCTTGCAAACTCGTCCGATTGAACTTAAGACCAGCTGGTGAGATTGAAATCGGGCACAAGCTGGTTCCGGTTTTGGGATCCGGCTAGGTATTTAAAAAAAAAAACTAAAAAATAATTATATAAAATTTCAGAAAATAAGATATTTGTTTCTAATACATTTTTTAATGTTTTTTTATCATTTTTGACAAAGATTGGAAATTGTTTTGGCCATGAATACTTATTTTTATATTTTTTTCATTTTTTAAAAATTTCAAAAATATCCCTAAGCACAAATCAAAATTTTGAAAATCTATTTTTTCACTAATTTTTAACTTTGTTTGGATGTGCTTTGCTTAATCATACTTTTTATATTTTGTTTAGATTTTTTTTTTTTTATATATATTTTTTTGATCGGTCGAGACTTGCCCGATTAAACCAGTTGAAGTAACCGTTTTGGCAGTTACTCGGAAACGACCCTTGGCCAGTTCGATTTTTCGAATACTGGGTGGAAGAGTATGATACCCAAATTTTGAGCTTAATCTAGTGTATAGAAAAAAGAATTAAATTGAAATACATCATGAACGTTTAAAAAGTGGGAGGTTAGTGGAAGATATGAAGGAGTCTGTTTTGTAAATTTTAAAAATAAATTGTGATTTTTTCCATAAATTTTGCAAAAAATAAAAGGAACTCTCATAGTCATTATCCTCTAGAAATTCCATGTAATTTGATTGATAATAAGTCCCCAACTATCTTCTAAGAATTTCATGTTGAAATACCTTTTGTCTATAAAATTTGGGAATTATAGAGAGATAAAGCTTTTAAAATTTTGAATTTTCATTATCCTCCAATAAGTGTAGACTGTAAAAATAAAATAAAATTGCAGGATGTGGGGCTAAGGGGACAGGAAAGAAGAAATCACAGGAATTGCATTTTGAAGTTTGAACAACATTCTTCAATTGAGAGAGAGAGATGCAATTTCTTATGAAAAATTTAAGCTCCGTTATTGATGCAGTCATGGAATGACTTAATTTGGATTGTTTTATGTACTTTAATTAATGGTTATATTTTGAAAATTTTTAAGAATCATGTTAGTTTAGATTATTAAGGCTATTTTAATTATTTTTTTGTTTAGGGAGCATACAAAGATAATTATGTGGGCATGAAAGAGTTTTCTCCAACCAAAAGAGATTGATGATTGCATGGAATAACTTAATTTAGATTTTTTTATATGTATTTTAATTAAAAGTTATATTTTGAGGATTTTTAAGAATTATGTTAGTTTAGATTATTAGAGTTATTTTAATTATTTTTTTATTTAAGTAGTGCACAGGATAATTACGTGGGCATGAGAGAAAAAATAAGGATGAGAGAAACCAGGGAGGAGAGATTTTTTTTTGCTTTTTTTTTTTATCTATTTAAAAAGTGGTTTCCATTGGTCAGAAAATTAATAAATGAATTGAATAGAAATTGCTCTTGTAAAAAGATATTGTGAAAAGATTGTATTTGGGTGGATTCTGTTTGGTATATTCTGTCAACCTTTCTTTCTAATTTAATTGTTATTTTCCTCAAAAGAATTGCAGGGGGAATGCCCATTTTTACATAAAGAAATCTAGAGAGAGAAACCTGCCATTCCCTCTAATCTCACAGCTTCATGATGCATATACATGCTTACAAAAAATACAACATTTTGAGATAATATGCCCCAAAATGCTCCCCTTCTCAATTCTTAGCTTCCTACTCTCTCTGTTCCATAAATGAATTGCATAAGTCTCTTGTTGAAGTTGCCTCAATTTTGCAGAAACCCATTTCGAAAATCTTGGATTCTTCGGCCTCTGAAAAAACCCACCAATCTTAATCCAATCAACAGGGTAAAAGGCCATGGGAGGAAGAACAGTGAAGTTAAAACCAGGCCTGTCATGAACTCTCGAAGCCACTCTCGAAACCAAGTATGGACCATTGTGACCCCACCTGTTTCCATTAAAAGTTAGAGCGAATTCTCCAATGAATTCAAGGAGGAGAGGGTGGTTTTCGTCGAAAATCAACATGGCGTTGTTGAGCCGACTCCATTGCCCTGGCTCCAAGCTCATGGTCTGAGCTCCAATGGAGTTTCTAAGATTCGAGAATTTCTTCATGACTATAACATCTGTGTCTAAATAAATCCCCCCGAATTTGTAGAGAACCGAAAGCCTGAGCAAATTCGATAAGTTTTGAGCAAAAGGTATCTCTCCGGGATCAATTTTTCCTCCCTTCAAATCATCGAACCAGGTTTCAGCCGGTGTGTTTCGAAAGAGAAATGGTAGATCAGGTGTTACGGCGAGAACTCGAAAATCCATCTCTCTAAATGGTCTTAGAATCAGCTTTCCATGCCTGGAGTCCATGCTTTGAGAGACAATGAGTAAGCAAGCCTTGTCGTGGGCTTTGAACAAACTCTCTAGAGAGAGAAACTCTCTGTGACCAAAAGCTTTCGCAGGTGAAATCCATGTCATGAAAAACCGGAGCTCGCAACCGACGCCGAAGAACTTTCGAGCTCGAAGAGAGAACCTTTTCGATATGGGGCTATCTTGAATGATCTTAAACCTGAATTGGTTCTCTTTGAACCAAAGCATTCTCTCTTCTTGAGACACATTTAGAGGTGAGAGAAAATGGTCAGAGCCTTTGATAAGGGGAACATGGGTCTCCTTCTCTATAGAGAGAAGTATAGGAAAGTGAAGTCTCGGTTGCCGGACTGAACTTTCAGGCAATATATTCAAGCCAACTGGAAAATGGATGAGAGAGAAGTTGGAGAAAGCACTCAAAAAGAGTAGAAGGGAGAAGAAGGTGAGAAGAATAATGGTGAAGAGAGAGAATCTAAAGCTAGTGGGTTGCCGGAAATTGATCATTCTGGTTTTCTGGCTGGAAACTAATGATTTTCCGGGTAACTTTGGCGGGCATTCGGACATATTGAATGGGAGTTATTTGTATATCTGTTAGGCAAATTTCATGGCGGATAAATAGAGATAGTGACCAATTGTTAGATACAGCAGAAAATCTTAGATAATTAATGTTTTTTGTGCGTTTCGAGATGTTTGCGCGCATGTGGGAGCATACTATATAGGTACTTCTCAGGGAAAGAGCATTTCTAAGGACTCTTTCACAAAAATTTGTGATCCATTTTAAAGTAACCAGTTTAATATTTTAAACAATAAGATTGAATTTTGAGCTTCTAAAAACTTGAATATGGTCATCAAAAAATTATAAGATCTTTTTCAATATTAGGTATGTTATATTTTAAGAAAATTATTTCATGCGGGCCGAACAACATTTCTATCGTATGCCGTTTAAAAAGTGTAAAGCATCCATCTTAAAGATGGATGCAAGTAGGTGTTTCATCTAAAACAATGGAAATATATTTTTACTAGAATTATTATTTTTAAGTTTTTAAATTTATTCATTTTTTCATATTCATGATCTCCATATTAGAGATTACACGTCTTTAAAAAGTAAGTCTTAAAATCTATTCAAAAATTAGATTTATTAAGAGACCCATATTTCTATTTATGTGAGCTTGGCCGCAGAGAAATCGGGTCCTATATTTTAAGCAGATATAAAGTGATTTTCCTTCTTTTCTTTCTTTTTCTTGGGATTTGGTCTTTTAATTTGAATTGATTTGTTGAGGAGGTTACATAGCCAAAAACTTGAGGGCCTAAAATTAATTTTAAGTAATATTTTTATGTGGTGTACGAATGGCTAATATGTTCATGTGGGAATACGTAATTTTTTGACTGGATTCTTTTATTTAATATATTTCTTAGCTATTTTTTTCTCGATTTATCCGCGTCTTTATTCAAAGGTTGACGTAGCCTAAAATGAGTTTCTAGCCGCCATGTTTTGGACTTGGGAAGAGAAGAACATTTCTTTGTCAAAAAAATCAGCAAAACTAATGGTAAGAACATATGTGCTCCCGCGTGAGCACATTCCACATTTGGTCCCTCGGGTAAAACTAGTGCTTTAAAACGGGATGAAGTTTCTATAAAAATAAAATAAAGCCACATTTCAATTTCTCATCCGGAAATCACTTTTCGGTATAAAAAATCTTCATGTGGCTCTAAAATCATTTTCCAACACGACAATAAAATTTAAAGCTCAAAAACTAGTACAGATCCAATAAATACTTATCTTCAGGGCAAAATGGACGGTCTAGATAATGTTTTATAATATACACTATTTTTAGAGTTTGAAATCATAATTTTTTTTCACAATCATAATGTTGAAGTCGAGATGATCGATTTAAAGGTTTTCAAATGCTTGAATTGCAATTTACAATGAGTTATGAGGTGAGGCTTTACTTAACCATTTTCTTTTAAAACGTGGATTGGTGGGGTGGTAGATCGTCCACCTTACATATCAATCAATCTTGAATTGGCGATGTACATCGGGCCTAATCAGGGATCTAAAAAATATTAGATAAGTATAAAAGGAAGGGAAAAATAATAAAATAATATATATATATATATATGAAAGAGACTGTTTTAGAGGGGGATCCGATACATTTATCTTTCTAAACCAGTTCTGGGCCCAACCAATTTATTATCATCGAAGTTCTTTTTCAACTAATTGGGATCAACTACATGAATACTAGTCCACCAGTCAGCTCTATTAAGAGTTATATACTCGGTTCGGAACCAATTAATTTCCTATCCAAATTAGTTATTTTCGATCTAGATCGACGGGTACTAAAATACTAAGCATGACCTTGTGAAGGAGGTTTTTAGGAGCTCAAAATTTTGGGATTAACCTCCAAAACTTAACGATGAACTTACATAAAAAAAAGTAAACAAATTTTGTGCGTGCAGGGAAAAGATCATAAAAAAGATTTGTATTGTAAGATTTAACGGTGACCATCCTAAAAATTTAAAACAGTCAAATCTAAGTTTTTAATAACATATTCCTTTAAATTCTCTTTAGTAATTATCAAGTAAATTACACAAATTTTAAGCAGAAAATATTCCCCTCACTAGGTCTTTTACTGCAGGAGTAAATGAATAGCATACTCCCATGGTTGCGTGTTTTTCTTTTTTGAAATGTAGTTGCGTGTTAATATTAGCAAACACAATAAAATACTTAGCGGAAGATTGGCACGCATCAAGCGAATGGAATGGACAAAAGTGAGGCACCAAAATTCCAAATTTCACACAGGAAAAGTATACAATGAGAACATTGTTTGACAAAATAATGCTCTTTGGATTCGCCATTAAGTCTAAGACTAAGTATGCTTCTAGTCTATATATATATATATATATATATATATATATATATAAGTAACTACTACTACTACTATAGAACGTAAGTAAGTAAGTAGTAGTTACTTTACTTTACGTTCTTACTACTACCTACCTACTAACTACTACGT